TGATCCAAAAAGGACACCGGAGTAGAGACTGTTTGCTCAATGAAAATGAAATGCTGCCTCGCCGGGTACAGTTCCCTTGGACATTTGGACGCCTCGCCCAATAATGCCCTGTATTGTATTGTGTTGAGATATTTACCTCTTTGAGGCTTTCTTGGCTGATCACGGCGACCTTGTGTCTGGAAGGCTATTATCGTCTGTATATCCACTGGGTCTGTCGACCCCGTGATAACCAAGACAGAATCGGGGATATTTGGTCTGTTGCAATTGATTAGACTGTGGATATCTGTCTGAACCTGAGATGGGAGATGTACTGACCACCTGTAGAAGTGTGAAGCTTGAGGAGCTAAGAGCGTTGTAAACGTTCTCTGGGAGATTGGACTGTATTTATCGCATAAGGATATAACTTCTATTAACTCGATCCTATAGGCACCGCCCTATCTATATATGGAGTCTGTGAATCTGGAGGAAAGGTAGAAAATTCAACTAATAAGCATAGATTCGTGGGGCTATGGCAGTCATAGGGAACGTTGAGCAAGTGAGGGGAGAAATCAGTATGGGGTGTTTATCCCGGACCGAGAGCCAATATAAGGTCAACACGCGGCTGGACCCAAACAACTCTTCAGACCCCTAGCCCTACAAAACATATCCTCCGTGTTTGAAATATTAGAGGTAAAGCTATTAAGGGAAGAATTTATATATGTTAGGTCAGTTAACAGTTTTCTAGCTTGATATTTAACCCGAGAGGCCAGCTAGGAGAGCTGCTCTTAACGGGCTGATCAGCGAGGTGATTTTATAACGATTCTCCAGAGATACATGTATTCGAGTTGGAAACCAAATCTAAAGCAATAAAGCAAACAGTCCTAAAGCTGCAAGTTTGGAAGAACAGAGTTTTGGCTTTCTAGCTGACGAGCATCGCAATTTGGTCAGGTTCTGATTTGGTAAATGGAGTAGCCGCGATTCAATTAAGATGATCTATACCCATCTAAACATTGTATCTAACAGTGACGTTCATAGAGATTCTCAACAAAAATGACGCCGCCAGCTCCGTTTCGCCCAAAATTTCTCAAAGATTAAAGTCAGGAATACACATACCAATGATCAGGAGAAACTAGTGCCCCTTAGGACTACCCACAGAACAGCTATATACAATGGACTAGTAACTATTAATTGTCCTCTATCCAGCGGTAAAACGTAGAAGACAGCCAGGGGACAGGAACGTACTATAGGATGATAGTTGTATTAGGGATTTTAGGTGATGTATGACAAGGACGTGTGGGCGATAGAAAGAGTTTCAAAGTAACGCAACAGCGGATGACGCCCTTGGTTATCATTGTCTTTACAAAATTTGTAGTCCCAATGCACACCGGATAGACGGTACTTAGTAGTGCTTCCATTCCCAACATCCCGGCCGCCGGGTTGGTCGATTGGGGGGTAAAGTGCTGCTGTTATTGTGTGCGTACAGGTATTGAGGTACATGTATATAGCGGACATCACAGCCGTAAATAGCCTCTATTTATAAAAAGAATCAAAAATTAATGCTAGCTCTATCCCATGTGCAAGCCTATATAAATCACGACCAAGCAATAAATGCCATCCCCAAAAGACAACTTCGGCAGCAAAAACTGCAGCAATTTGGGGAACGATAGTACAGTGTTCCTTCCCCTCGTGCCCGACATGGGATTCGAACCCACACCGTCTCCTGCGACGGAAGCTAATGGAGGATGGAGTGAAGTTTTATCCCTTAGACTAATCCGAATAACGCATGCCTGTGGTTGCCGGTTTTTTCTTATAACCCCATCTCACTGAAGGGGCTCGACCTTGGTTGATCTAATCTAATCTTTATCTTTGGTAGGGGGACCTGTCAATTAGTGGTGCGGTGGGTGGTTCGAAATAAAGTCTGACTGCAGAACCCATGCTACGGTGTCAATCCTACGTTTGACAAGCCCTCAATGGCTGTTGTTTATGGGGTGACACTACTCTTTATGGTCATCTGTCCGCCCTCATGAGAGGTTAGGAGGCCTTGCAGCTCGCATCTAGTGTAAGACTGGGCTAGGTGGAAGAGCATCATCGGGTGATCTTTAAAGCTACCGCCAGTAGACGAAAGTTCTGGAGCTTGAATTTGCTTTTTTGGCTGTAGTAGTTCGAGCGCTGTTCTTGTCTCCTGGCCTTTGTGAGATGTCGATGAGAAAGTCTTTGCGTGGACTTTTCGATGTATAAAGCTTAGAGAGTCGACACAGAAGTGGTCATGATGCCCACCTGTTTTGTTTCTTCGTCCTTTGAAATTTCTGCACATGGCTTACTCGTTTTTTTTCTATCCTCTTCATCTCCTACACCCTTAATTTGGCTTCCATCTCATTCTGCCCATATGTACCTTCCCGTCCCGCTCGGGTCCTGAGCCTGCGCTTTCCCTCCCTCCCACCTTTCGTTACCCCGCTAAACGAGTGATAACACATGAACCGAAAGTTACCCAACAGCCATATTTTCTCACCCACGAAACTGCGCCAATGACTCCATGATCCACCACATTCAGGCCCAGCCTACAGAAAGTGTTCCTTCCACTGAACTTCAGTCCCGGGATTCCAACAGCTAACTGTGCATATCCCCTACCATCGATATCTTGTCTAACTTCCGACACTCAGCCGGCCAACCCATACCAAGCAAGGAACCTTCAGCGCGCATCCGTACATGATATCGTCACAGAGGAGAGGTTTAGGTTAAGATTATTTTGTTGATATACCCGCTTCTTGCCGGTGCCTCTACTTTATGAAGGTATATTGTACTCCAAGCATTTACGTATATAGCTCATTCTGAGTGAGAATTAGCAGGGACAACCCAGGTCGTGGAATGCACTACCTGATGCTGGGATTTGAGTTACAGGTTGGAATAAGACGAAGGAAAGGCGTGCTCTATGATCGTTCGGTTCATTTAAGGAGGATGTGGGAATAGGTCTGCACTGCTATGTTCCTTTTGTGATGTTGATATGAATATTTACCCGTCAGCGTCTACCTTGCAGGGATATACCAATTCCTGTTTTTTTTAATCATTGATACAGCGTGTTTCGGTTGGCGCGTAAGTTGTATTGTGTGGGACTGGAGACGGGGAGAGGGCGGATATCAAGACAAAAATTACGGTTTCTCCATCTAGTTAAGGAAGGCCAGTAGGCTCTTGAGGATGGCCACTAAGACGATGAGCTTCCTAAATTAATTAGGTACAGCTCCTACTTCGGTCTGCTTAGGTTGCCGCTGACAGAGACCGCTCCTGCGTCGTAGTGTCTACTCGCACCGTTCGTAGGATATTAACGTGTTTCACCGGGAGAGCGATCATCACCGGGAAAGCAACCGAAGCTCACAGAAGGGCATTATGAGCACCAAAACAATACCTATGAAGCCATACATGTATAGGAGAGTTCTTTTGGTGTTTTTGACTATTTCTTATGATCATAGCGAGTATATAGCTAGGGAGGGTCATCAGCTGTCATCAAGCCTTGATGACCCTCCCACAGCTATATACTCGCTACCTATTAGTAACAATCATCAGAAATATTCGAAAGATATCTCAAAATGACTTTAGTGTATTTAGCTCTGTAATTCTGGGTGATTTTGAATTTTCACAGCAATTCGCGATCCCATTCATGTCATGCTTGATTGCTTCCCAGTGACGATTGCGTTCCCGGTGAAACACGTTAAGCCACAAAGGAAAAAAAAACGATTTCTCGAAGAACGCAGCCACGACCACAAGAGTGCTCAACAGCACTACTCTATCGCCCAAGAGAGGTCATCTGTTTGCGATGATACACCTGTATATGGTGGCCAAGTTTGCAGCGGAGGAGCTGGTGGGGGCGAGCTAGGGTGCTTCGGGAACTACGGATACGGAAGAAGAGATCTGGATGAGCAAGGTAATAAGCTTGTGTCAAACCCTTTCTATCATAGAGATGGTATGGTGGTTGCTTGTTCGTGCATCGGTGGTGTGGGAAATGTTTTGATTCCTGTGCTACCGATCATTGGCATCGCACAAACACGGACTTGGTGATCAATAAAAAGAGCTGGACCATGAGCTGCATTGGCTGAGCTGGATCTAGCAATACAGTGAAGGCGAAGGCGGATAGTATTGTTTCTTCTTTTATTCAAGAAGGCTGACGATCTTTTAGGCTGACTATGGATTACTTTGAGATAGTCAAGCTTATGGGGTGGTGGTTATGAAAGTGATACAGCCCCAGAGACATTCGATGTCGAGGTACGCATACGTGTGGCTCGTGGGTATAAACCTTCTAGAACCTGCAAAAGGAAGCCCCCGCCGAACATGGATGCGGCCATAAGAAGTCTACGGCACTCTCAACATTACGCAGGATGTCTACATCGGGACAGTAATTTGAATCTCACAAGCTCAGTAATCGAAGGATACTACAGCTTTGAAGACGCAGGCTACATATCTACGCTGACAGGGAAGAGGGGCCCCTACATGAAGCTGTGAGGTAGATGGGAAGTGTTTTTTCCTTTTTTATCGAGGAAGAAACATTCACTATCCCATCAACCGTAGCAACCGAGTTAAGGACCCGATTGGGTCCCACTTGAAATAAAGTGACCTTTCTTAAATTCACAGCAACACCAGCTTCGTGAGTACTATATTAGGAGCTCTTATTGGGATCGGTTGATAAACTTTCCCGCTTCTTTGTTATTAGTGAACAGGGCTGGATTATATCGATTTTGTGTTTTTATCGAGGTTAGAGTTGCAAAGTACCCAATTGGAACCTCTGGCTTCTACGGTTCATGGGATACGCTTGACCGCAAGGCTTTTCCTTACAGCAGCTATGATATGATATGATAGGTCAGCTGGTTGGTTCTCTCACCCCACAAAACACCCCGCCAGGAGATTTATAAAACCCATAATTCCACCGTGACCAAAGCTTTGAAGATACAAACCCACTCCACACCTCACCCCCCTACCACCAGCCAGAACCAATTGACTTCTTTCATACCCGTGCTCTAGATCGCCCATAACCAATGGCTGCGTCAACGCTATTCTCCCCGCGTGCGAACTCTGGAAAGATGTTCTTCCTGACTATGAAGATCGAAGATCCTAGAGTTAGAGGTGGTAAGTCGGGTCCCACACAAAATCTAGCAGACCCACAGCTGTAAAGTATCGATTACATATAACTAGATGGATACATATTTCGAGCGCCTAGTTCTCTTGAATCGGATCTCTGCGTCGGTGGATAACTGGGGGAGTGCCTCAGCGCGCTGTGTCCGAGTGTGGTCCATAGGGTATTGCGGCGGGGGCGAGTTTTGGATGAGGAGCTGTCTCGGACAGTGAAAATATCCAGAGTGATGGGGCGGTATTTTGTTTTCCTGGCTTACTTGCAACAAAAGGTGGTCGTTATTGAGTTGGCGTCTCGCGGGAGATGGGATATACTCACTGGTTTATGAGATTGGCTGCAATCTTGTGTCGACTAGCTAGGCCACAGTGAGTGCTCTTGCATCGCTCACTCTTACTCGGGCTCCAGCAATGAATAGCAAAACCCTGCTTTTTTTTTCTTTCGGTTTCCTATAGTAGACTTTGCTTTGTACAATATATAATGACGGCAGGCCAATTCTACCAAGAAAAGTGCTTCTGGGGGCATCGAAATGGGGGAGCTAAAGAGACTTTACCAAGCAAAGGAAAATAAACTCACCTACGGCTTGCAATCTGTTGATCCTACATTATACCACCACCCCCAGAATACCAGATAGATATCAGTGTACCACCCAATCCCACCCTGACTGACTGACCACGCCCACACCTACAGCAGCCGAGATTACAGTCTCATAGACACCGGGCGAAGACGACGTTCCCCTAAATTCGCGCCGACGGGGAATGGAGCGCAAGGGTATCGCGGTTTAAGTGCTATAATCGCATCCTCTACAGCGGTAAGGCGGGTTGGTCCCTACTATAATCGTATTGAGGAAGTTGGTGGGTCAATTGATGAGTGTGTAGCTTAGAGATATAAGCTAGCTCATGAACTCTGACGCTATCGGGTTGGGGATGTTATTGCTATTTCTATGCGGAACAAGCTATGCTGTATATGTGCGACGCGGTATATGGCCAGCCGGGTGCGATGATGATATCCACAAATGGGACCGTTGTGGGTAAGTGAAGTGAGCAGCTCAAGTACCACCCCATCCACTCCCCCCCCCAAGGCTGTGACTCGTAGCCCACTCAGTCCTGCCTCTATGCGCCCAGAATACGACTTCCTGAGAGCCGGCGCACGTTGGGACGGTACCGTGGGTTTGTCGACTATATATGCCGGTGGGTTCTGGATTTGCGCAGGGGCCAGCGTGTAGATGAGTGGATTAGTTAGGCAGATGTGTGTTTGTGGTCGATTGCGGGTGGTGTGTGGGTGATGTGGGTGTCGGTGTCGGTGTCGGTGTCGGTGTCGGTGTCGGTGTTGGTGTTGGTGAGGGTCTGTATGGGGACTGTTTGCTATTCTATATAAGTGGAAGGTGGAATAACGACCTCTTTGATGACTAGGGTGTTAGGACTAGCTAAGAGGGATTGTGGAATATCTGGCTGCGGGGCCTGGGTTTATAGAGGAGTGTTGGTGCGTGGGGCATGAGGAAGTCGCAGTTAGTATGTAGTGGTCATTGTAATGGCTAGCGCTGGGTGTTGCGCCAAGATGCGAAGAGAAAAAAACCGGGGATTCAATCATTTCCATTACTGTGATAGTACCGATTCGATTATTACGAAAACGACGTGCATGTCCAAAGTAGACGGGAATAAAAAGATGCTGATGTATTATTTCTACCTGCTGGACTACATGTATCTACCTACCTACCTACCTACCTACCTACCTACCCACCTGCCTACCATTACCCTCCCACCCGCCCCCCCACCCCTCCCCCCGCCTCACCGATTCACAATCACCACATCCAACCCCTCCAACAGCCCCAACACCTCCCTCTCCCCCATCCCCAACTCCGTACAAATCTCATCCACACAATGCCCCCCATCCACCCACCTCCACAGCGCACCCGCCCTCTTCTCCCCATCCACCACGACAGGCCATCTATGACTCCTATACAAAAACCCCTTCACCACCCCAAACGACACAAACCTCCTGACATCCACGCCGCCCAACCTCCCCGCATTCTCGACACACCACTTCCTCAGCACCACGCCCTGGCTCAGACTCGTATACATCTCCAGCAGCCGTGGAAAGGGGACGCGGGTGCCGCTGGTGCTGACATAGGCGGCGCACTCCTCCTGGGCGGCGACGTCGGCGACGAGGCTGCTGATCTCGGCGGTGCAGGCGTAGATGGCGCCGAACTGGAAGACGTCCACCATGACGAGGCAGCCGTAGTAGAGCAGGTGCTCGATGCACTTGCGCGTGAGCGTGTAGTCGCTGTCGGAGAGGTCGGCGATGCGCTTGGCGCTGTTGATGCCGTCGATGTAGGGGACGATGCGCTGCATGGTCAGGTCCCAGTTGACGTCCATGAGCTGGTCGAGCTGCACGGTGAGCAGGGGGACGTGGTAGGGGCGCACGGGCGGCGGGGGTGCGTACGTGGGGAAGAGCTTGAGGTTGAGGGTGTTGCTTTCGTCTACGGGGGTGGGTTGTTAGTTCAGCTCAGCGCTTGTCTGTCTTGCCGCTGGGGGGGGGGGGGGGAGGAAAGATACTGATAGGAATCATGCACTCCGAATAATTATTCAGATCCTCCATGACCTGCTCAATCAGCGCATACACGCCCGCCCTCGTCACCTCATTACTCAAGAACCCACTCTGCTCCTCGAGCGCCTTGAACAGCTTCGCCACCTTGCGCACCACGCTCTTGTACGTGCTGTACTCCACCTCGGCCTCCACCACGATCGCAAAGTTGAAGATGAACTCGTTGCGCGCGTACTTGCGGTCCGGCAGACACACGGGGTACCCCAGGATGCGGTAGGCGCCCGTGCACACCGTCACCAGCCGGTCGCACAGCTCCTGCTTGGGGATGATGTGCGGGCTGGTGGTGTCGAAGTCGAACAGTGGCGGCGAGGAGGAGGAGCAGGCGGGGGAGGGGGAGGGCGTGATGGAGCCGTCGGGCACTTGGTAGACGACTTGGGGCCCTTTGCCGGGGTGGAAGTGAGAGTAGAAGATGGACTTGATCATGATGGCGTGGGTGGAGGAGGAGGGGTGCGTGGGCGGGTGCATAGCGGTGGGTGTGTGGGTGGGCGGGCGCGGGTGTGCGTCTTGCTGCTGCTGCTGTTGGGCTAGGGCGGGAGGGGCATGGCTGCACTTGGCAACGGGTCTCTTCTAAGACTGCAGACCCCTCTCTCTCTCTCAACCTCCCTCCACCCCACAATCCCCAACTTCAACCACCACCACCACCACCACCACCACCACCACCACCACCACCACAAACCACCACAAACAACACCAATGTCATCCCCCACCGCCGCCCCCTCCTCCCCCACGCACACGCCCACCCCCACGCCCACACCAGACCTCTCCCGCCCCGCCGACCCCCTCGCCGCAGGCCTCAAGTCCCTCCTCGACCCCACAATCAAGCAGACGACCGAGAAGCTGCTGCAGGTGCACCAGTCCCAGCTGGAGCTCAACGCGGAGCTCACGCGGCTCGTTATGCGTGAGTACTCCCCCTCCCTCTCTTCCTTAGGTTGGCGCGGTTGCTGAGGAGGGAGCAACAAACAGAGCTGAAGCACTATCTGGACACGACGGATCCGCCGGCGCTGAAGCCGACGGTGGTGAAGCTTGCGGCGGTGGGGAAGCGGCTGGCGGTGGTGAATAGTGTGTTCTCCCTCCCCCTACCCCCCAATCTTTTGGGGGCTGTTTGTTCTGGGCGGTGCTGAGTGCTGACGCGGGGTGGTGGTAGATTCGCTGCAGACGATACAGGGCCGGGTGAATAAGCTGTATGTGCAGATGAGCAAGCAGCGGATGCCGTATTCGCATTCGCAGTAGTGGTGGCGGTGGCGGGTGGTGGTGGATATATCACGGCGCGATTGGGCGGGACCGGGGGAGGGCGGGAGGGTGGTGGTAATGTTTAATATGAGATGAGATGAGATGAATTGAACGTATTGTGTCTGCGGGCAGGTCGGTTTTGCGAGGGGCGGGGGCCCGGGGGGGGGGGGGGGGCGGTATCATTGATGTGATGGGTCTGGAAATTGGTATGGGGATCATTCAATTGGCCCTGTGGTATTATTACATGTGAAGTGGGATCTGCGGTCTGCGAGGGTTCTACAAGTGGATACGGATTCGAGAGATAGATTCGCGCTGGGTGTTTCGAGCCGCCAATTTCTCTAGTCAAAACCATACGCCCACCTATCAATCGATCCAACTACGCTTCTTTCCTCTCTAAAAACCCGCCCAACGGCCCATTGGTCTTCAACAACTATGTAATTGATTGCCTCAAAAAAAACCTCGGGCCAAAAAAGAGAGGACCGCAAGGATATCAATCTTGAGTGTTATGGAGTAGGAAATCAGCCCAATTTACTACGTCCCGGATATTGCGCACAAATTATGGCTCGTAGTGAGTGCCAGATGCTTTGGTAAAAAAATATCTACAATAACTATAGACCACAATCTAGGCTCCCGCTGAGATTCAATCGTTACATGTAGCTTGATCACTCCTGGGAATCTGATAAAGAGAAAGAAAGAAGGAAACCAAAAAGGAGGAAACAGAGCTGGTCATGCTATATACATTAGTTGTGAATACAAGCCAAAAATCGAGTGTCGGTTTCTGGTGCAATCAATTGACGTAGTATTCTTGCGCCTTGTTGTAGAAAGTATCGTCAGAAAAAAAATACCCACAAAGACAAGTCGTTCAAACTAGGTTTCTCCTATTTTAGACTGCTTATGGTAAACCTCAAACTTTCCGTACCCTTGAATTGAACGCCCTCATCAACTAAGCACCGTCGCATTGTAGTCAGTAGAAATACTCTATCCCCCTACTCTTCAAACATTGGGAAGCCCAGATACTTACCTAACATGACCTCTAGACAAACACACCGCCTTACCACAAATGCCGTCTTACTATAAACATCCTCTCAGCACACTTAGAAAACAACACAGGAGGTGATCCATGTCTTGAAGGTAACTGAAGCAGTGTGCTTACGCTACACCTTTAGATCTGTAGGGAGCCCGAGGTACTCAAAACCGCGGGGCTTCCACTGGTCTATACCTGGAATTGAGGGCAGCTTCAAAGGGCATATAATAATCGGATAGAGCCTGGTATGCACGGTTTTTTTTCTTGCTCAGACCAGCCTTTGTGCAATTGGTATTTATATATGGATGAGACGTGCGGCTTGGCCGGTGAGCCCCAGAGAGATTCTCACCGCAGAACTAGATATTTGTAGCTTTAGGACGAGGCCTGTTGGTGCCTAAGTCTTAGACTACCTCCTTATCAAAGGAGCCAATTATTGCCAAGTTTCTTCGTCAGGTTGCGTCTCACCAGGTATCATTTTCACAGTACATATGATTAAAGATCTCTGACATGTCGTCTATATCTCTAAGAAAAGCAGCTGCTAGAAGAGTACAACTATGAATCCTATAGCGAAGAATCTTTTTAGTAATCATTCCGCCGACATATAGCTATAGATACGGGATTTTGAATGTAAAATTTAAACCAAAAAGAGACATGAATTTGGAATACTTATTAGGCCTTATATATATTTTGACGGCTCCAATCAGGTCCATTATAATTAGAGAAATTGATATACGTCAACATGTATAGCCTAAGCATGGCAGTCGACTGAGAATCTCAATTTAGATAAGCTAGTCGTTGTTAGAGAAAGTACATACAGACCATTGCGTTTGTTTTTGTCTAGAATGCGGAGGCACCTACTGCTCCTGTGTCACTGAACCCACTCTATTCCATCCCCCATCTTCATCTTGATTAGGATCCCGTGGTTTCAAAACAGCAGAAAACTAGCTCTCTACTCCCCGAAAGCGTGGGAAAGCCTCTACCCCTGGACACAGTGAACTCTTCCATCGTCGTTATACCATCGCCGTTTTAAGGAGGCTTCCGAGGTCTCGTGGCTATCTATTGGTGGCTCAAGTCGGAGGATGTATGGTGCGTGATTGTAAATGCCATTGCTCTTTTTTGTGCATTGCAGTTGGTGGTGCAATATAGGATTGAGATGGTCATCGTAGGTTCGCTCTATAGTCATGAAACGTTTGCAGTTTACAGGGCGGGGTGATAGCTAGTGGATTTAGTGTGAGAAGTCGGAAATTAAGAAGAGGACTTTGTGGTTGTGCGAGCAGACGTTATAAGTACATAGCCGGAACTATATGTAGGTTTACCATCACAAGGCCGGAGTTCGTAGCTACTTAGCTACATGACGTAGCGGAAAGTACATGTACATTATTACTGTCGGATCGGAGAGGTACATACATGTACAGACGTCTAAGAACACAAGTAGACTTCAAAGTCCAACAACTCCGCCCAAGGCCATCAATGCCCCCCGCATCGCCCTCTCTCCTGCCGTACTCAGAGGGAAAGCAGCACCGAGGGGACTTACAATTACAAGATCGCTTCGGAGAGTTGTCACCGAAGGGAAGAATTCCAGCATCGATATATGATGCGGGTCGACAGGTAGATTCTGCGTTACCACGAAGCAAGATTCGGAGACTAACCATACTACGTATACAAAACGGAGCCCAGCGTCTTTCATATGTACTCTAAAGATCAAGAGATCCGCTACAATTCCATATAACCATCTTCTTTACGCTCGAAATTCCTATCATTACATATACCCACCATTCTTCACCGACTGTCTCACACCGCAGGGGCCTCCACTACATATATACAGATTCTGCCGGCAGTTTTGCGGTTCTGTGCTGTATGGAAGGGTATCATGCAGAATGTCGTCAGTCGGGGTACGTGCGGTTTTCGGGGATTTACGCCTGAAAGGTCTAAGTCTGTGCATTCTGGAACTGCTTGTCGGGCTTCTATGAAGCTGAAGCTTTCCAAAGGGGTTTCGGATGCCGATGGTCTCGCACGTACCGCCAAGTAATATTTATGTGGTGGTGGCATGTTATTGGAGATCTACCTTGACGGAATTTCTTTTTGGCTGTTGAGAATCTTACAGGTTGAGAGAATGATTGATATCGCTCTATTGGCATCAACTTAAGGATCTAGGTACACCCGCAGGAAAAAAGTGAGGAAACAGCGGGTGCAACCCGTCCAAACCCCAATGCAAAATTGGGGATAAAAATGAAAAGTAATATAACTAAACAATAAAATACAGAATAGATACTATGGCCTCTAAACTATATTCACCACCCCCTATGATCTCCCTAGTCCTTTACTACTGCTGCAATTCTCTTTGGCATGCTGTCAATGGTTTTTATATACATTTCCCCCAATCCGGCCTTTCCTACTCTTCCCTAGCTTGGGCTTCAATAACTTTTATGTTTTCATTCGGAGTAGCCTCTATCCACTTTCCAGACTTGTCAAAAGGCATGGCCATGGAATACTCGTGGGGTTGTATTGCGGGTGTGGGGATGTCAAGTTGGAGGCACCCGTTGTCACGCTCAGGCTACTCGCTGTTTCCTCACTTTTTTCCTGCGGGTGTACCGGGGGTTAAGGGTAAGTACTGAGAACCCCATTTTGAGCTGTAAGGGCCAGCGGGCGTCTGCTATTGGTCGATTCAAAAAAGAAGGACACTTGGCGGCCAAGAGGTTATTTGAATTGTGTGTGTTGTAGCTTTTGCAATGCAACCTCCATCCCCTCTTTTCCACTGATGCTCTTTCCAAACTCCACGAAAAACATGTTTGAAAGTTTAGGATTGCTATTAAGGTGATGGCCAGAGCAAGGGCTATTATTTGGTTATTTTTTTGTATTTTTAGGGAAATATTTAGGTTTTTGAGTGAGTATATATGAAGTGTCTTTGTACTTTTTTCCCCCATACAAATTTCAGGGCCAAGACCAAAATTCATTGGCTGCTTTTTGGTTGCCATGGGCGGTTCCCATACAAAATCCAAGGCGTCTCGGTATTTAAGGTGAACCCCCGGTACATGTACAGCCATATCTCGAACTCCATGTGGACAATCACACGAGAACTCCCAAACGCGCAAATCGGAGCTGACCGTCAATACTTTGATGCTGTATTCCCCGTCCGGAGATTTTTTTTAGGAAGGGGGATTAATGTTTATGTATTTTTCCGATGCTCAGGCGAGATGCGGTTCCCTCGGTAGCTTCCTTATTGAAGATCTACCTTCCGTCTACTGATCCAAGCAGGACCTTAGTAAATTAAGAGGGGAACGGACGAAGATTAGTAGATTCCGTAATGGGAATAGATTGTGGCGCACCGTAACCAAGAACGGTTGGTATGTAGTTTATTTAAACCTCCCCCGTTAGAGGCCTCGTGCTCATGAGCGTGGGTTATTGGTCAAGTGTTAAATAAGAACTGCCACTTTAATACTAGCAACTAGCAAATCAAGCCTATCAATGGAGTGGCGCACGATAGAGAAAATCCGCCAAAGCAGGTACCGTTGACGCCGTTCTGCAACTTAACTCTCATACCGGCGAATCATCACCCAGCCGCCGCACCACCTAAAACAAGATTAGAACAATGCTCACAGACAGGACTTTTGACCGATATGTTCAAATTTGCATTCTTCTTTCCTCCTTGGAATGGAAAGGGCTGGTGGTTAGGGATCGGCAGTACAGTGCCAAGAACTGAAATCCTAACAAGGAAGTTCACAACATCGCAACAACGGTTTTAATGCACACTTTGGGATATCAAGACCGTGGTTTGCACTATCTCAAGCGTTATCCTCGAAAACAAAATCTTCAGCCTGCACTGATCCGCGATCTCATATGTACGGCCCCTATACCGTTGATCAGGTGCGTGAACACAAAAAAGTATATACTACATGTACTCTACACTACCACGTACAATCTTCACATTAGTTACAGTACTGTAAGAGTAACAGTCCTATCTATATAGACAAATAAACGTACGAACTGTTACCAGATCGGAATTTCTACATGGGCAAAAGCCCTACTCTAATGGTAGTGTGCACAGAACTAAATAGCGTAAAACAGAAGTCAGTAATACAGAACAAAATACTTACAGGCTTGAGATTTAAACAACTATTAATGTACCAAAAAGATCCAATTCATTCTCATCAGTTTTTTTTAGACACCAAATAGATTCCACTAGCCACATGTATGCCAATTAAATATGCAGTTGAGTTAAGGTCAAGTCCGAGCAGATCGCCCCGCAAGCCCCACTATACAGAATAGGATCTTCTGCCTAGGGTGATGAATATGGCCTTGGAATTTGTACCTGAGCAGGACAGGGAACGGGGTTGGTGATAAGCTTGCCAGGGGAATATTCGCCCCGCCACTTGACCCTGATCAGGGTCATGGGTAGCTATCGCTGCCTAGTACGGTGCATTTTGGTTGGCTGTATGCAGACGTTATCTCAAATATACCCCTCTGGATCACATGGGGGGACAATTTGTAAAATAGAGATGGCTTTTTTAATTACAAAGTTTAACACCTTCCGGAAAGCAATGGGAGCTATGAAGATACACGCAAAGACGCGGGGTTGGAGCGAGGGGGGTTACATTCACGCAAAGATGGGGGGTCGGAGTTCACATTTTTAACGCAAAGTACGAGCTCATGCTGCAGTAATGGAGGAGCGTATATAAAATCCTTCACACCCGCATAATAGTAACGCACTCGTTATCCCTTGCAGTAGAACCCACATACTACATTAATATTCATAATGAGGTCTACTCGATTATCGACGTCAATTGCGCTCTTTTCTGCTGCTGTAGTCTTTGTCTCTGCTCAGACACGAAACACTTATAATAATATTGGAATAACTACAGGAAGCCCTGGAGGGGAGCCAGGCGGACAGTTTATCAAGGGGAGGTACATTGTTGAGTTTGTCAAAGAAGATGGATTTTTTTCGATGTCTGCAGAAGATGTAAGTTCCGACCACCTTGCATCGAAAATTTGAGATTGAGAATAAGATAGCTGATGATATATTTTGTAGCCCGTGGAAGAGTTTTATAAGTCTCTCTCAGATAACCAGATTGAAGCAAAACCTGCAGTAAATATCACTTCTTCGATCTTCTCTGGAACATCCTTCGATACAGACAACTCAACAAAACCGGAAGATATTCTGGCATTGCCGCAAGTAGCGAATATTTGGCCTGTAAGGAGAGTGCCAAAGCCCACTCCCCAAATCCATAATGTCGGTACTGCAGCTACCGAAGGGGCCGAGAAGTGGACTAGCCATGGTAATTTTCGAGATCTTTACTTGTGTATGGACATAGCTCTAACTATGTATAGCAAATACCGGTGTCTTGAAGCTTCATGAGCAGGGATTCTTGGGCGAAGGTGTCATAGTAGCAGTCGTAAGTAGTCCCATCAGTTCTATTCTAGTTGTACAGGTCACTGACAGTTGGCAGGTTGATACTGGTATTGACTATCACCATCCTTCACTTGGGGGAGGAATTGGCTCTGGCTATAAGGTTTCGGGCGGTACCGATATCGTTGGCGATAAATATGAAGGCCTAGAATTCCACCCCGATTCGGATCCGTATGATTGTGTCGGACATGGGACTCATGTTGCCGGCATCATTGCCGGAGAGGACAAGGACTTTATTGGTGTTGCCCCCAAAGCTACACTCAGAGCATACAAAGTCTTTGGATGTGAATACTCATCAACTGGAGACGATGCACTGATTTTAGCTTTCGTCACCGCCTATGAAGATGGAGCTGATGTTATCAATGCATCAATTGGCGGGCCTGGTGGGTGGCCGGAAGATGCTTGGGCAGCAGCCTCTTCTAGAATTGCGGATCAGGGTGTCTTTATCTCTATCTCTGCTGGAAATAGTGGAGAAGAAGGTATCTGGTATCCATCATCCGGAGATGTTGGACACTCGGTTACTGCAGTTGCCTCTATAACAAATGAGCAATATCTTACATTCCTTACTACCGTTCAAGGTGTCGGTAACAACACAAGAGATGTCGGTTACTTGGACAAATCGGCCCAAGGATTTGCCTTCACGGGAAGGGTCCCCATTTATATCCTTTCACAAGATAAGAACGTTGCCAACGATGGATGTCGCCCTCTTCCAGAAAGCACTCCAGACCTCTCTGGCTACCTGGTTCTGGTCCGCCGTGGAGGTTGCACGTTCGGAACTAAGCAGAACAATGTTGCAGTATTCGGAGCCCAGTACGTCTGGTTTTACAACACCCGTAACACCCCAGTTGTCTACCCTGATATTGCATCTAGCGTTACTGAGGGCTACGCTATGATAACTGCTGAAGATGGGGAGTGGATCATTGATCAGTTTGTTGCTGGGACAAATGCTACCGTTATATTTCCTGAATACCCAGAGAAGAGTGGTGTGAACAATACAGCAACGGGTGGAAAGCTCTCTGCTTTCACTTCATGGGGGCCTTCCTTTGAAGCTCAGATGAAGCCCGAGATTGCTGCTCCAGGTGGATACATTTATTCCACATACCCAATCAATCAAGGAGGATATGCAATTCTCTCTGGAACATCCATGGCTTCTCCATATATCGCAGGTGTTGCGGCACTCTATATGGCTGCCCACGGTGGCCGTGCTAATATGGGTGGAGAGGGTGTTACTGAGCTCAAGAGGAAGATCATTACCAGCGGAACACTGATCAACTGGTCCGACGGTGTTACAACAGACTGGTCCAAGCTTGCTCCCATTGCTCAACAAGGTGCTGGATATGTGAATGCTGAAAAGGTGCTCACATATGCCACCAGTATCTATCCTGCAAAGCTCGAACTCAACGATACTGCGTATTTGAAGCCCGGACACTATATTAACATCAAGAACTCTGGCACCGAGGAAGTTGAATACTTCATTACCCATGAAACCGCAACAACCATCAATTCTTTCGAGCCTGGCATAATCACCCCCCAGCCCTTCCCAGGCACCTTCATAAACGAAACTGCGACTGCCAGCTTCACTCGCACATCTATCAGTGTCCGCCCTGGTACCACAAACTCCTTCAAAGTAACATTCACACCCCCTAATGTTGCAGCGACCCTCCTCCCCGTCTATTCAGGCAAGATCATCATCACCGGCTCCAATGGCGAAGTTTTAAGTGTCCCCTATATGGGTATTGCGGGCAAACTTTACGACGTCAAATCGTGGGATGTTGCAAATGGGTGGCCTCTCATATTCAACGACGGTTCTAATGCGCCTAGTATATCTGGTCCCTCAAACTTCACCCTGAACGGCACCGATGTCCCCGGCGTAGCGTTTCAAAACCACTTTGGCTCTGCAGAGATTCGATGGGATATTGTCGAGACAGACTGGGCCCCACACGAATGGCGCTATCCTCCTGTTCCAGGCAGTAACAAGTTTATTGGCTCGATCGTTACTCGCCGGGAAGCTGAAGAATTTCCACTTTATTACCAGCCCCGCCACGGACCCTATGAGCCTGGCTTTTACAGCTATTACACTTGGGGTGGCGATCTGGCTGATGGAACAAAAATCGAGCCCGGGAAGTACAGGTTCCTATTTCAAACACTTAAAGTGACTGGTGTGAAGGCGAGGAATTCGGATTGGCAGAGGAAGTTGTCGGATGTGATTACGATTCGGCCAATTTCGAACTCGACAGAGCTGGCCTGATCGTATTCTAACAATTAATGTGTAATATTATATTGCTGTTTGATTTATTTCGTGTTTTTGTAAATTCTTGAACGGAGCCTGTAATGGTTAATGGTATGGAAGGTTATTGTACAAATGGAGTCACATGAGAGAAAAGAGGGGGTTTTTTTTTGCTCGGGTTTGTTTGCGCTTACAATATCAATTAACATTTGTCCCAAGAAACTTTCAATGACACAATTCGATTATTGAAGGCCCATTCCTGTTGGCAAGAAACAGTACACCCTTATACTACATGCCTACAAAATGGTCGGAAAACTTCACAAAGTAAGAGGGCGAAAACCCTGCAAGAAACTAAATCTTACTGAACTTGATTAAATCACGAATACAACTTGAGCAGTTATTAGTTGACGAGGACATTCACTATTTTGGTATTGAATCAGGGTATCTCGTTAATTTAACAGAAACTATTAGACTATGCCTTCACGTTTTTTTTTGCACATCTAGATTTCCCTATGACGGATTGCTTAGTAGTTGCCTCCGTATCCGCCACCACCACCGCCGTAGCCACCCTGGTTACCGCCATAGCCTAAGAGAATAGTTAGTATATGGAGGAGTGTTGGAGATATCATAATGCTAGAACTCTTACCGCCCTGGTTGCCTCCATATCCACCACCACCACCACCACCACGTTGGTACCCTCCACCGCCACCACCACCGCCTCCACGGCGGTCTTCGGCGACGACGACGCTGATTCTACGTCCGTCAAAGCTATACCCATAGTTAGCAGACAGCACTAATGCATAGTAGATTGAGTGAGAGCTTACTCGGCATCGTTCATGGCCTCGATGGCCGCGTTGGCGTCCGATTCGTTGGTGTACTTGACGAAGCCAAACCCACGGGACCTGCCAGTCTCACGGTCCTTGACGACAACCTGAGAGGTGGAACACAAAAAATTAGATTTTTTTTTTCATTTTTTTCACTTTTTTTTTTTTTTTACAGCAAACTATGTTTATGGTGAGGAATGGAGAGACAAACGGCTTCTTCAACGGTACCAAACTCCTCGAACTTGGTTCTGAGGCTGGTGTCGTCGGTGTTCCACGACAAAGATCTGTGGATAGCAAAAAATGAGTTTAGCGAGCGATTCGAGCATCAATTTGAGGGGAAGCAGAGGATGGAGATGAGAATGAGAAGCATGTAGATGAGGCTGAAGCATGGAGGATGGAAGAGACAACTAACCTGATGAAAAGTTTCGACATTACTGAGATTGCGATTTAAAACCGAAAATACTGGACAGAAAATTTAACACGCCGCTGGCAATTATTGAAAGAGGGACAAAGACAAGACAAGACAGGACAGGACAGGACAAGACAATGAACGGGGAGAAAGTACGTAGCGAAAAGAGTGGATGATTGTTGTTGTGACTGCTGGGTTTTCTCAGAAAGAAAGTGAGAGGAAGGAAGGTTTGATGAGGAGAGGGAGGGAAGAGGGGAGTGGGAGAGAGTAGGAAGAAAATTGGGTAGAAATAGCGGGGTAAAAGTATGGGCAGAGGCAGCGGCGAAAGTGCGTCACAAAAAATGGCTCGCTCCTGCCTGCCAACGTCCACCACCATCTCCTTCAAGCCCTAACCATTGAGGGAGCTCTCACCTAATCCCTAGGGGATTTTTGCGTCATAGATATGCATACAGATTACCTACTCCTCCAAGGTATCTCTGTGCTGGTTTACACTGGATTGCATGCGGTTGCGGTATGGGGAGGCATGCGCCAAGGAAAGGGGAGGTGTAGCTACATGTAGCCTTTGACTTTCACGGCACACGACGCGCAACGCATTTCTAGACCTTCGCTACCCGCTACCCGCTACCCTACCCCCACACCCAGTTTCACCTACACATGTGAGGATTCCCAAAATCCTTGGCAGAGAAATTGGATGAAAAAATTGGTTACCCGGATTTGGATGAGCTGGGTTGCCTAAATTATAAACGTTGATCAACCACTCATGCTCACGACAGGTAGTTGAGTATGAGCTCCTAGGTCCTAAAAGCACCGCACGATGGGAGTAAATACCGCGGCTAAACGTTGTTTTCTCTAAGGTACTATGAATTTTCATAAAGTCACCACACATATATACCCGGTGCGGCATCGCAGAACCTCTTTGATTTAATTTGTGATGGCGCATGAAGGGGATTTCGCATGTTTTGACTAGATTCTGGCCGTTAAACAGTCCTATGCAAATCAAATTTAAATCTCTGGTCGAAAAGCTCAATAACAGGCTTTATAGGTCTCCCCTCTAGATCGACAGAAATATTGCATCATTACGGACCCGCGAGGAAAGCAGGTGATTGAATCGATATGCTTGCCCCGCACTACATAGCAAAAGTCACATTTAGGGGTTCTAATAGATAAATGTCGATCACCCACCTCAAAGAGAAAAAAGCATCAACATGAGGACGGGAAACCTGCATCCAACTATCCATTACCCCTTCCTGTTGGAGTTTGTAACAAAAATGACTTGGACTAGGGTCATGTGATAGCGAAAATTTACGCTACTTCAATCGTGAATAGATCATAAAGTATCACTCGACAATTTATCTTAGGTCATTCAGCTGGATGATGAATAAAGCAATGTCTCTCTCGAGCGCTTGATAAAAAGGCACACATGTGTGTATACAGAACCACCCTCAAAACACATTCGCTTAGTTATCTCGGTCCGCGTGTAATCCAGATCGGTTATTGTTTATATATGTGCATCCATGTACAAGTATGTTGAATACCTACGTTCCTAGGCCTTTCTTGCATCTCCCGTACCTAAAAATTTCCTCCAATTAATTGTCCTCTGCCAGATTCCAGGGTTGCACTCGCTTCTGTTTGGTATCGGTACCTGGACGTCTTCATGAATTCAAGATGTTGCCGACGTAGTTACTGGAGACTCTTCTTCCGATGAAAAATCGGCTAAAGATGAGCTGCCTGGCATGGGAGTGGATCCATCCTTTCCTGGTTCCTCTTCTATTTGGATCAGCATTAGTTCACCCTTCTGCTCTTCTTTCCCTTCTTCTACCACCTGTGCCTTTATTTTCGTCTCTCCAGCCCCCGCTTCCACCCCCGCCTTCAAAGCTTCACTAGCCTTCTTCCACTTAGCACTCTCCTCCTCCCTTTCTCCCTCGGCTTCCTCCTCCTCAGTTTCGTCCTCTCTCTCTTTATTCTCTTCATCTACTCTTTTATATTTATCTTCTTCTATTTCTATTTTCGCCCCATCCTTCTCATATTTTCTAGTGATACCGTCCCACGCTAACAATCTGTATGTACCCCCTGTTACCTCCTGTTTCATAGCTCTACCAAGCGCCCTTATTTCTTCTTCCGTGAGCCCAATCCTTGGTTTTTTCGGTGATATCAGTACCGCATCTTCTTGGACTTCCCCTTCTAGTCTTCTCTTCATTGATTCTGCAGCTTTTTGCTGAATAGACGCAGCTATGATGGTTCTGACTGCTCTCCACCTCTGATTTGAAGCTTGTGACTGGGTCTCCTCTTTTTCCACTCTCGTATCCGCTGTGATGGTCCTGGCCGCTCTCCACCTCTGATCTGAAGGTCGTGACTGACTCCCCTGTTTTTCCACTCTCGCATCTATCACATGCTGCGAATTACCGACTATTGCAGCAAATGAATGGGTTTTTCTGCTTTAGTAGGAGTTATTTTAGCCTGTCTCGTAGCCTTGTCCTTGGCTGCATTGGCTGTATTGGCTGCGCCGATTTCTGCGTCATGTACGTCTGACTATATTATGTTGTTAGTGAAGTCTTACAAGACTGAAATTGGGAAAGAAACCATAGCAATTGTTAGAAGATATCTGGAAATTGAGATGCTAACTAGGCGAGTAGATATATATTCCCCTCTATACCCGACGTTGTTCTTTTTTTCTTTCTTTTCAGATTTGGATGCTTTTATATTTAAGTCCCAGCTAGTAGGCATATAGATACATTTCCACCATACTTCTTTTATCCGGTTGTGTCGAGCGTCAAGAACCTAAACAGATTTCTCAGGACTTTTGGGCTCAACTAGACAATGGAAGACCAGCAGCGGCTGCAGATCATAGAAGAAAGCTATTGTGGAAAAAAAAAAAAAAAAAAAAAAAAAAAGACGTCAGAGTAAGTCATAAGACGTTTAACAGCTCTATTCGAGGATAAAGAAACAATTTAGGTTCACAAGCTTGTAATGAACTATCCTTACAAGCCCAGTTGAATAAAGAGACGGAACGCAGCTGGGAAACAAAGAAAAATATTATCTGCTCCGTTCATGGAATAGAAACCACAGAAACAGAGCTAAATAGGTTTTCATTTGTGTGCCTCAGGCTATAAAACTCGTCTATATGGCGGCAACATATTAAAATCACGCCACCATTGGGGTAGAAGAATGATGGTATAAAGCACTGGAATTCAGCGGCACCTGTTCATACATGTATGCAAGGTCTTGGGTTTCAACATTATCATGTGCATCTATTCGCGTCATCACAGATGCATTTGGTCTAGTATCAGTAGCATTGAATTTATCCCCGAGGCGATGTACAATTTCGCACTTTACACCACTGGCAATAAAACGGCTTCTTGACACGCGTGTGACCACCAGAAGGCCAATTTTTTCAACGTACTATGGTATCAAGGGTAAGTGAGTAGAACGTGGAGGTGTGGCTAAAGCTACAGTTTTCCTGATTTGCTTGCGAATATATATAAACCGCCACGTTCTGCTCACCGTAATACTACATGTACAGTAGTCTACCTTTTTCGGCCGTTCTGATCCAAGAGTAAGGACCCTGAAATCAAAGTATCGTAGCATATAAATAGCCGGTACTTGAGGCGCATGAGGCTACAAAACCTGTCCTATCGATCATTTCTTATAATTAAACAAGGAATAGGTTAGCCCCCACTGTTGACCAAAGTTTTGTCCGCCCAGCCTTACTACTCTAGACACGTCATCGTTGAACGAAACACAGACTAGGCTCAGTAGGGTAAGGTGAAAAAATAGTACTACGCGTGTAGGGGTAAGTCTGTCGACAGGTGGCGGTGCATTGGGAGGAGATTCCTGAATATTGCTTGTGTGTCACCGCCACCTGCCTACAGACTTACCCTCACAGGCGTAGTACAATGCACAAAAGGAGATGGAGGATTACCCAAGTTGAATTATTTGATTAGAGTGTCCATAATTCAGACTCGCAGCGCCAAGACCTACGCCGAGACCTGTAAGGGTGCAAAATCAGAAATGATCTGTAGTGATTGAAGCTTGTTATTGGTCTATTTTGCACTCTTCAGGACTCGACGCAGGTCTCGGCGCTGCGAGTCTGAAAAATGGAGGACTAAAACACTATTCGTGGCTTCGATTATCTACCTGCAGTGGTGTAACCAAGGTGACTTATTATTCCCTCAGATCATTGGCACTTTGTCGAAACAATCATTGGCCTCCTCAAGGCTGGCTTTATTAGGGCTTGTGGCCCGCCATATATACATTTGTTTATGTTTCACGCTTGAAGAGATCTAGACCCTTATGATCAAGCAAAACACAGGCCCGTTCGATCACATGTGGGTACGTATACATGACAACTTTGCTTAATTTAGTGTTCCTCACTCCAACGCACAGATCTTCTGGCTAAAGCTCCGCTTTCTATAAAATATCTTTCGTAGTACAATAAGTGATCCTCTCCATGCATGCAAGGCACCGCAAGAACCCATATAGTCAGGTTCTGTAGAGTACTGGTTCCCTTAATTTATGTTGCGAGGCGACTTCGGTATTGTTCCAGGTTGGTAGCTAGAACACCTTCCTGAAATAGAAAACTATTGTCCACCGAGAAGTCAATAAAAGCAAGATACGTCTGTAGGAGTAGGCTCGGTAAAATCATTGCTGCTACCAGGGTTACGATGCTTAAGGTATCCTACCCACCTCCCACACCACCCACTGGTAGGGCTCAAAGGGACCCGCAGCTGGCTGCAGATGTGAAGATGGTTGTCAGATAGAAAACTCGGGCCAGGAGTATATGTACTCGGGGGTGCTGGAAAGTGATGCAACGCTTGACCTAGCAACGCCGAAATGTACTCAGAACTTCAACTTTTAACACAACACAATGCTTGGGCAGGATAGATATTTTAGTCATACCCATGATAAATGAGTCTCTAGAACAGAGTCTGCAATCCCTCAGGCCATTGTTTTGGGGTTTTTAGCCTGGGGAAGGACAACTTGTGACAGGAGACAGTAATAAAAGGAGAAGCAACAGTCAACCACATCAACTCTCGCCATAACTATGGTCTCCAGCTTCTAAATTACCATAGATTTGCTCCACATTCTGTTAGCTAGTTTGGTTGTTGAGAAGTATGGGCTATTTGACCGTTGCATCACTTTCCGGCACATGTAGTTATACTCCAGGGCGGGGGTTGAGGTGTGTGCTTTGGGAGTTAGGTTCCTTGTGAGATGATATGTAATCATCTACTATAAGGGTGTGTAAAGAAGCAATCTCCGTTCAAATGATGACTTATGAATCAGCGCCCAGAGCTCCCCACAACGTCGCGAGTGATAGTCTGTGAAAACGGCCAAGCCCAAACTGGTTAGTTGAGACCGCAGTGTCCCCTTAATTCCGCTAATAATAGACCTGGACAAATGACTTTGACTCAACATGCATACTCAAAAGAAAACAAAAGCTTCTATTGATGATATGAACAGTATATGCCTCCCATTTTGTCTGGACAAAGTAAACCAGGCATCATAATAGTATGCCCTTCACAAGTTCCAAACGCCCCGCAAAAGAAGAAAGAAAGATAAATTCATACGCCTCCAAATAAAAGAAAAAATATTCCTCCAAAAGACGGAATTACAAGAAAGAGTGAACGGAGGGGTATACGACAAGAGGAATCAAATTTGGCCCGAATGCTGAAATGGGCGCCCCAACCCTTCTATGCAAAGTCGATGCAAAGTCTATGCGCTGTAATCATCGGAATAATCCTCATACTCGCTCTCAAGGTCCCCACCATCACTCGGTTCCCTCGCCGAGCCTCCCCGCTCCCGTTCGTGCATCGTTTTCTCATGTTTGCTACCGAACCATGTTGCGACTTTGTCAATCTCAACCTCGCTCAAGTCTGCTTTCTCAAACGCACGAAAGAGTCGTCGGTGAGCGGCGTAACGCCCTAGTCTCATCCGTATGGGTCGGCTCGTATAATCCCATCCAGGATACAGAGTCTCCAGATCACCCTCGTCCGGCACAAAGCCATACCAGGAGATGATCTCGCAGCGTATCTCGGGGACTATGCACCGTGCAACAAATTCGTCGAAATCGCGTGGATCCTTCGAGGTTGGGCTTGGGAAGAGGAGTTTGTAGAGGACGATGGAGGTTGGTTTCTTTTGCATGGTTGCGGGTAAATGGGAGGGGGGGCAGGAGGAGGAGGAGGTGGTGGCGGCGGTGGAGGAGGAGTAAGGGTAGGAGGGACCGGTTGTAGCTCCTTGGTTGTACTGATATGGGGAAATAACTAGCTAACAACTTATTGTGTATGTAGTTGCTGCGTAGTTGTTGAAAAAGGAAAAGTTTTCGAGTAACAGTTGTCAGCGAGATCTCCTGGAGGGGTACTATTCAACTTGGGAGGTGGTACTTGATCGGCAAACGAGGGCCGAATTGGAAACACAGCGCGAAGCCAGCCACCGAGAAGATAGAAGTCAATTCTGGGGTAGAAATAGGAGTAAGGAAAGGAAGCGGGGGAAAGGAGGGGGGGTTAGCAGGATCAAGAGTGCGGGGGGTGCAGAGGAGAAGTTTTAAGTAAGGAGAGTGTAATACTGCAAACGAGAGTTAGAGGGGTTGAACACGGGCTTCCAAGACCAAAACAAAACAACGAGATGAAGCCGCTGCGCCGAAGGAATTGCTAAGCTACTCCGGGATACCGGCCCATTTTGAACCCTGCAGTCTGCCACTGATATTGTTACATGTCTGTGAAAGGCAGCGATTAGATGTTTCGGCATTGAGTTGAATTGATTTGTACTTTTTGGTTTGAACAGGCTGCGGTACTGGTTGAATTGACATGTCTTCGCATTGCACACCGGTGTTTGCCGTGAATTCTCTCTCAAGAAATCAAGCCTAAAACCCAAAGCATCGTGTGATCAATTGAGTGATGAGAGATCCCGGTCGGCAGGTAGCTTTTCAAGCTTGGGGGGTGAGTGGTTGTAACACAGGGCCTCAGACTAAAGCACACACGATGGCATCTGATCTTTCTTTTTCCCACTGTTCAAAATGTCAATGAGCAAACCTGGCCTGGTTTGGAACTGTTGGCTGTATGTGACCGTTATGAGGAATTGGGATACACATATCTATGCGTATGTGCTGTGGTTTAAAATTTATGCTGCACAGAGCCGCCTAGTTTGACGCTCCCTACCACACCTCGAAATAAAATTGGCGGAAATTCCGGTAAGGATTCCGACTCGTAGCGTACACGCTCTGGTAGTGGTATGCGAAATACAATTTTTGTGAAGGTGGTTAGTTTTGCGTTGCATCAAACCCGGGGCTTTGGAAAGTGGGCACCGTGGCCAAGACCACACCATTGATGCGGACCTGCATCTTCCCCGACGCGACCCATCTCGGTTCGCCAATCTACATGTCGATCGACAGCAGGGAGAAGCTCAGACATCGCCGTTGAAATAGGGAGAAGCAAAGATAAGATTATTGACAGAATGGTAAGCGAGCTATAATCCCCCCGAAGTTTCGTAAGAGCCATTGCTTATTTGGAATACAGTCGACATTCATGGGAATTGTAGATGGTAACCCATCTCATAGACTTGTTTTTGCTTAGCACAAAGTTACTAACCACTGTTCTGACAGAGTTCCCGGATATACGAAGTACACAGGCCCCCTTGATGTATTATATGCGGCGAACCGGCCTAACACATGCACTACAGTTGATTATTTTCGCCAAAGCAAAGAACTCAACGCTAGAGCTCCACTTGCATGTTTTTTAACTCATATCCACAGGTACACGTGGCATATTCCATGTTCACTATTAAGTTAATGCTGACGCTTCGATTATAGTGATCATATCCAAGGCCTTGAAAACTTCTATGGCGGCCCATTCATCCACTGTTCAGCAGCGACCAAGGAGCTACTCCTGCGCTTGGAACGTAGAGCTCACAGATGGAACCTAGCAAAGGGAGTCCTAGAGAGCCGTAGATGTCAATATATGGAGAAAAAGAATAAACTAGTATGTTACTACCAAAGCTAGAGCGTTAGAGGGCAAATGTTGACATGGATGGACGACAGAAAGTAATACCTATGGAAACGCCAACGGTGATAGAATTGGATGGTGAGAGGAGTATACGTGTCACAATGTTTGACGTGAGTGACGCATGGAAATAAGGGAACAAGTGAGATGGCTAATTACCCTCCAGGCAAATCATTGCCCGGGAGCTGTGATGTTTCTTATTGAAGGTGATGGCAAGGCCGTTCTCTACACGGGTGATGTTAGAGGTAAGCACAATGCATACTCAAGGGATGATAAAAAGCCCCAACTAACCAAAACCCAGCTGAGCCATGGTGGGTTGATTACCTGGCTAGGCACCCATTGCTTATCCCGTACACCACTGGAATAAAACGTCTTGATAAGATCTATTTAGACACCACATTCATTGGTCAAAAAATCAAGAGCCAAGTATTTGCTCCCAAGGTATGCTGCCAAATGTATCCCTCAAAGGGTCGTGGGATCTAAATATAGACCAGCGTGAAGGGATTCGGGAGCTCATAGAGACAATTGAAAAGTACCCGTCAGACACAATATTTCATCTCAATACATGGACTTTCGGGTACGAAGACGTATGGGTTGCTCTTGCTGCTGCCTTCAAAACTCAGGTAACTTTCAAACCCACAAAAATCGAAAAACGTCATTAACGTTGTCGCCACTAGATCCATTTAAGTAAATATCACTTCCGATTATTCTCGTTTATTAGTGCTCCTGAAATTTATCCCTCAGGACCCTACCTTAGGGGTTATAAGTTTGGGAATACAAACGTTAAAGGGTGTCTTACAACAAATCCGGAAGTCCGATTCCACTCCTGCGAAAGGAAGTCCGGATGTGTGGGACTTGAAGGAAAGAAGAATGTAGTGTGGATTACACCCGTAATTGTGAAAATTGGGGACATTGATGTCCATGAAGCTGGCTCTGGAGATTGTAAGCCCTCATAGATCAAGGCCTCCTATACGTTTACTAATATTAGGCAGTGGAAAATCAGGATGACCTAGAGCTGTATGAAGATCAATTACAACTGCTTCTCGATGCTTTAGGGAAGAACATAGATCCCAGCGTAAAAAGTCTTCTACAAAGTGCGAGAAATACTCGAAAACAAGCACTACCATTGGCTCTAAATAAAGGAGAGGAAGGTGATGACATAGCTCTTGAAGAATTGTTGATCAAGCTCTCCCAATCGGCTCTAGGCAAAGAAATCTCTAAACCTGGCTTTATACCAGATGCTGAGATCTGCACCTCTGATGGAAAATCTCTCCCAAACAAAATAACGTTCCCCTATTCTAGGCACTCATCATACTCTGAGTTACGAGGCTTAGTAGCTTTGTTTAGGCCTCGTGATATTTACCCCTGTGTGGTGGATACACAGTCATGGGATGAAAGCAAAACAATGGAAAATCTCTTTGGCGATCTTTGCGAAGGAGAAGCGTTTACACATGATGAAATGATGAAAAGGATTCTTAACGAGGAACGTCGAATCCAAGAAGAGTTAGAGGATGAAAGAAATAGGCGTGAGCTCCAAAGTCAGGAAAATCTCGACAGAGCAGAAGCAGAAGGCCCCATTGATTCACAGCTCCTTAAAGAACACCTCGAAAGAGTTGCCTCAGTATATCGAGATAATGACCCGAGTTCATCTCCACCTCTGCCGAGAACACCACCTTCGAGAAAGCGGCGAGTAAATGAAAACAACGACACTACCCCCAAAGGCAGAAAGACTACCAACCCTAAAAGAGTTCACACCACCTCATCCCCCCATTACCCCCAATCATTTCTCCTAGGCAGCAGAGACGGATATCCAACCAGGCGCTCATTGAGGCCGTCCGCCTGGCAGGCTCTTCGACTGCTAGTAGCACCCCTCAAACTTCGCCGGCTGGCGCCAAAATGGAGGAACGACAAGGAAGAGCTATTAAAAGGTTCAAGTTAAGTCAAGGCAAGTCTGAGATCTCAGCAGTAGATGAGCCAGGAAAAACAGAACAGGCCAGTAAAAATAAGGAGTTTATGATACCAGGTCTTGACTCACGGCGGGGGAGTATCAACGAAGAAGAAGTCATTGAGGCCATGGAGGCAGCGCTTGAAATTGATGGAAGAACATGGTGGGATGCGGGATTGACTTGCACGAATGAATGGAAGTATGAGGAAGAAATTGAGTTATAGAATGTTTTATCTGAAGCGTGTTTGAGAGATAATTTTAGTTATATGGAATAAACGACTGAAAGATGGGGGCGATTATTTTAAGCTACATCTTTGTAATTATTGTTAGTAGCTCAAAATAGATAGACAAGAGGCCGTTGACTTGTTGGGCTGTACCTAGCTCATGTGCTTCAGCTAATATCATAATTTCTAAACTATATCCGGGTATCCCGGTTTCTCTATCAATCATTGATTTTCTCATTATAAACGCTGTATATGAGTACTTCCTCTTACTAGGGTGCTATTTGATCATGGTCCCGGCTACTTCGACAATATATGACGATAACGTTGAATAGGTGTATATTCACTTGATATGTCCACGAATTGCACCTACATCCATCTCATCCCGCCACATTGCTAAAGAATTCGGCGGGGGTCCCATAAGCAAATACATGTTAGTATACTGAATAATACCAAGTGGTCATTCACATACATCCAAGCTGGAATGAGTTACCACATGTATTTTAGACTCACATAAGACAACTTGCACAAAGCTCGATAGAGAAAGGTGGCTACCAGGTGATATTAAACACTGCTATAAATTAAGAAGTCCTGTACTATATCTTTCGATCATTTTCATGATCAACACTCTCTGATAATATTTCCACCGATAGCAAAAGAATCGAATACGATCTCCTCCCATTTATCAAGACCATTTCCATCAAGCAACCATCAGCCCTCTTTCTGTGCGCTGCGGCTCTCTTCAAACTACTAAAAATGACAAGACGTGCCAAAGAACCGGTAAAGCAAGGTGTCGAGATCATGCATCGTCCAGAATTCAACAAGGTGAATATCTCCGGTCGGCCGCTTCAGCTTGGTGACCAGCATGATATGGATAACCAATCATCTTCGAAAGGATATAAACGATACCGCTCTCGGCTTCACTATACCCTACGAGCATAGGGACACTAAATTCAACAGACGAGTCCAAACCGCGATTAATGGTGTGGATATCTATGATGGACGCTTGGAAACCTCCCGCGACGCGCTCAGCGATATGTCCGCCGAACTAGATAACTCACTTGACACCCTGCTGGCCCGGCTTAAGGCGGAGATAGAGAGACGTGAAATGGAGGAAGAAAAGCAAAGGAACATAAAGTTCAAGCTGAAGGGAACTTATAAAGCGGCATATAAACTTCGAGAAATCCACAAAGCAGTGGATCTCAACCCGGAAACAGTGCCTGTTGGTAACAATCTAAAGAAAATGAAGAGGGCTGTGGGGGGGTTTGTTTATGAGGTGAACCAGGGCATGGCTGTGGTGAATGGGCCTAGCTGAAGCAAAACCCGAGGTGAAAGAGGAGCTAGTTGAGGAGGTAGTTGTGGTATATAGTAAAAAAGGAAGAAGTGTAGTTTCGCGGAGGACTCTGTTAGTTATTGTTGGTTTGGGGGACTTTAAGTGAGCTTTACGTCATGTCGTGGGCGCTTGTATCTGCACTTTTGTTCATGGTAACCTCTGAAGGTATATAAATGGGGCGCTGTAGGTCTTTTTACTTTTTCTTAAACAGAGTTAAATACCTTGATATTATTCGATTAGTTAACTTTCTAATGGATGCCTTTACCTACGACGGATTTGCGATAAGATTAGAGCAGAATTCTATGGGCCAAGTAGGCTACATAAGCACGGATGTATCCTTCTTAAGCAGGTGAATTAAAGTTCTTGTTTCATCTTAATTTAACCATCATTATTCCAGTGGAACACTGTCATGGGTCGGAAATGTAGGCCCCTTCTTCCTGGCCATTTAGATAGTGCAGTGGGTTATAGGTTATGATGGGGGGTGGGGGAGATCCGAGATATGGTCTCGGATTCACCGTTATTCGTTGAGTTAGGAGCCGAGTGAGGGACCGTGTTCCATTTCTGGAGGTAGGCTGGCTGTTTGATCGTTGTGGATTGCGGTCTCTGTGATGAGTGAATTTGTGAGTTTTAGTGCTAAGTGTGATTGATGCGATTGGGCTTTTGGGGTTTATGGGCCCTTGATGGCACACATCCTGGTTGTTAATGATAAGGTATATCTCGATTCTGGTGATATCACTATCAAGAACATTGCGTATTGTTAACAGCCACAGAAGGACCAGAACCATAGAAACCGGTAGTTAATTATTCTCACCAACTACCCACCACCGCAAGATCTTTTAAAAAGCAAAAGAAAGAAAAGAAGAAAAAAAGAAACGAAAAAACCCATCAACACCCCCTCTACCTCCTCCTCCCCGAACCACCAAACCCCAACCCCAACCTCCCCTTCGTCCTCCTCTTACTAGTATTCGCACCTCCACCGCCACCCGTCGCCTCGCCAAACCCCGCCTCATCCAGATCCATCTCATCCTCCTCCCACTCACCCCCTCCGCCATGCCCCTCTTCCCCTTCCCCCCCTTCTCCCCCTCGCCCCCTCCGCCCCCTCTCCCCTGCTCCCTCTTCGCCGCCAGCACCCTCTCATACTCCTCGCGCTCCCTGCGGCTGCGCACGGCGTCTTCGCGGATCGCGGCCATCTGCGCCTCCAGGTCGGCCAGCACCTCCTCGCACACGCCGCCCCAGCTGTGCAGCGTGCGCATCATTGCGGGGACCTCGTCGGGCGCGACGTCGCGGCCGGCGGTGGAGGACACCTCGACGAGGGCGGATTTGGTGTCGAGTTTGGCGCTGAGGAGGGAGGCGTAGATGGACGAGATGACGAGGTCCTCTAGGGACCGGGTGGAGGGGAGGTCGAGCGTGTGGAGGAGGGAGGCGTAGGTGAGGTGGGAGGGCCCCTGGGAGGCGAGGGTGATGAGGGTGAGTTGGCGGAGCTTGTGGAGTTGGGCGGGGGAGAGGGGGGGAGGGTGGTTGCGTTGGCTGGTGGGGCGTTAGTCTCTATGTATCCGGAGCTGGGTGGGGGACGGGCAGAGGGTGGGGCAGAGAGGCAGAGAGGCAGATGGTGCAGGGGAGAGAGAGCAATACCTTTATAATCCCCATAACTCCCATACGCAAAGATCTTGAGCAGCGCCAGATACTTTGCGCCGTCGGCGTTCCCGGCCAGCGCCTGGATGTTTGGCATCTCGAGGAGCTCGGAGAAGACGAACACGCCTGGGGCCTGCGTGGCTTGCATGACGAGGTCGGCGGCGGCGCGGCCGGTCGCGGATTTGGCGAGGGCCAGGTAGGGCTGCAGGGCGAGGATGTAGGATTGTTCGGCCATTGTGTTTGTGTTGTGGTTGGGGGGGGGGGGGGGGGGGGAGCTGTGATGTGCTGTGGTGGTGGAGGTTTGGAGCTAGGTTGGTGGGAGCTTGGTGGGTTGGTGGGTTAGTGGGTGGTGGTGGGGTCAAGGGCCTTGGCGGTGAGTGATTGTTTGTGATGAGTCGTGGGGGTGCATAAGGGGATTGTCTACATTCTCTCTCTCTCCCACGCCACAGACAATGCCGTTGTGGGGAGGTGCGTGTGAGTGATGGGCTGTGAGTGATGGGCTGTGAGCGAGAGATCTGACAGCGGGTTTGTAATAACTTGCTCGTTCAGCAGTTTATTTTGCATCCTTGCTGCCGTGTGACCCCTGGCTCAGAGTAGCTGTGGCACTCTACATGTATGCTTTCTACAAGGATGGACGTCTGCTATCTACATGTACATGTATCTATCTAGCATTCCGAGGAAGGAAGGTGAGGAAGAAGAAGAAGAAGGAAGGAAGGAATAACCTTCCGTACCGCCCGAGAGAGAGAAGCTTCGAATTTTCAAACAATCACCCACCAGCACGTGCACACACATATGGGCTTCAAAGTCAAACCTCTTCGTTGCAAAACAGGCCCCTACTGTTTCCAAAACCCTCCCCGAGTGCCCTGGTAGCTAGACATCGCCTCGATAAATTCCCCCCGCCTTCGGAGCTGTCAAACGGGGGGGTATTTTGTGTATGGTCTTCTCACGCACGCTCCCTCCCTTCGAAAAGTGCAAGAAGAAACGTGGAGAGAGTGGGCGTCTAGATCTGTGTTCCTGGACCTGCAGGGCTATGTATTACATTACTGTATTCTATTCCATCCAATCCACCAACCCGCCCACCCTGCATCTCCATCCAATCCAATCCAATCCAAATCCCAATGCCGAAAAAAACATAATCAATAAACCCACCTCCCTCCCTCCCTTCCTGCCTTCCTTCCTTTCCTCTCTTACCTTCAAAAAAGAAAAAAAGTCGTCTGATAGATTACGAACCCGGACTCCCGGACTCATTCCTTCCCTTTCCTTTCTTCTCTTTGCGACTGTGCACTCACTCACTGGTTCCGGAACCCCTTGACTTGAATACGTGACTTTAGGCTATTTTTACATCCACCACACCCCCGTCCGTACCTTTTTTTTCCCTCCCCTTCACTTCCTCACTCGGTTGCAGCCAGCCAGCAGCTAGTGAGAAAAACAGTACTGTACCCACAGCACCTGCCCTAAAATCTACCGGGCCGGTCGGTGACCTACAGTACTCTGCCTACAGCACTCTGCCTACAGTACTCTGCCTACAGTACGGGACTTCTAGCAGTCGTCGTCGTCGTCGTCGTCGCTTGTTCTACCTTACCAACCCAACCTCGCTTGTCGAAAGAAAAGAGCAAAGAGTAGTACGACGCTCGCTCGCTCAATAATCATAATCACCTCTCCCCCTCCCCTACCTACCCAGCTGGCGCCTCGCTGTGCGACGCCTACCTACCGACCTACGATTTTTTTAATTATCTGGCCCTCACCCCCCCCGCGATTCTTTGGCTCGCCCATCACAGAACCTACAACACTTTGTCGTCCACCGCCATACAGCAGCAACACACTCACCCAGGAGCTACAGACCAACATAGGAGGAGGGACCCCACAACCACACTAGGAGACAGCAGCAGCAGCCACCAGCAACCAGCAACCATGGCGCGAGAAAGGGACGACGCAGACCGCCCGCTGATGGATCTGGACGTGGAGGAGAAGGGGCAGGAGCGGGAGCCGCGGATGGTACAGACGACGGTGGCAGTGGAGGGCATGACCTGCGGGGCTTGCACGAGCGCTATCGAAGGTATGTCTTATCGAAAGGGGAGGAGGAGAGAGGGGGAGGGGGAGACTGACAGGGAGTGGACACCACTGGACAGGCGGGTTCAAGAACCGCGATGGCGTAACGTCGTTCACGGTCTCGCTGATCACGGAGCGAGCGGTCGCGGTACATGATGCCGACAAAATCTCGGCCGAGAAGATTGCGGAGATGTGAGCCTTTTTTTTTTTATATTTTTTTTCTACCCCCCGCCTCTTGCTAGCTGGTCTGACAAGGGGGTTAGAATCGATGACCGCGGCTTCGACGCCCGCCTCGTCTCGTCAGATCCTGTGGGCGGCGCCGCGCAGCGAAGACAGAAGAAGAAGAAGCAGGAGCAGGAGCGCGGCGGGCTGGTGCAGACGACGGTCGCGGTGGAGGGGATGACGTGCGGCGCGTGCACGAGCGCCATCGAGGGCGGGTTCAAGAACGTTGCGGGGGTGCAGAGCTTCACCGTTAGCTTGATCACCGAGCGGGCCGTGGCCGTGCATGATCCTGGTGTGCTGAGCGCCGAGAAGATTGCGGAAATGTGGGTTGTTGCTGCTGATCTTTTGCTGGTTGTGGTTGTGGTTGTGGGTTTGTGGGTTGGCTGACGCTAGTGTGGTGCTGCTAGTATTGAGGACCGTGGCTTCGACGCACGACTGATCTCATCGGAGGCGGTCGGGGGTGCAGCTGCTGCTGCTGGAGGGATGATGAAGGAACAGGCGATAAGCATGGCGACGACAACGATTGCGGTCGAGGGAATGACGTGCGGTGCTTGTACGAGCTCTGTCGAGGGCGGGTTCAAGAACGTTGCTGGGATTGTGAGCTTCACGGTTAGTCTGGTGATGGAGAGGGCTGTGGCGGTTCATGACCCGAGTGTCATCTCGCCGGAAAAGGTCGCTGAGATGTAAGTCTGCAATAGATGGTGGTAGTGATGTATTGGTTATGGCTAATAGGTTATGTGTGGGCACGTGTAGAATTGAGGACTGTGGTTTCGGCGCCAAAATCATTTCCACCGCCATGAGCGGCGGCAACGACGACTCGGAGAAGAATGCGAAAATCGACACGGTGATCTTCAAGATCTTTGGCCTCAACTCGGGCGAGGACGCGGTTGCGCTCGAGAATGCGCTGAGCGCGCACCAGGGCGTCTGTGACGCTGCGGTAACGTTCGAGAACTCGAGGGCCAAGATTGAGTACTTTACGTCGCTCACTGGCGTGCGGAACCTCGTGGAGATTGTGGAATCGCATAACCTGAATGCGCTCATGGCGGACATGGAGGACAACAACGCCCAGCTGGAGTCGCTCGCCAAGACGAAGGAAATCACGGAATGGCGCAAGGCGTTCCAGTTCTCGGTGGGGTTTGCGGTCCCCGTGTTCTTCATCAGCATGATTATTCCCATGTTTTTCAAGGGTGTTGATCAGTACCTGGGGGCATACGAGCTTCCTATTCCCGGCTTGTTTGTAGGGGATTTGGTTTGTCTGGTATTGACGGTACCGGTGCAGTTTGGTGTTGGCGCCAGGTTCTATAGGTCCGCATTCAAGAGCTTGAGGCACAGAAGTGCCACAATGGACGTCCTCGTAGTTCTCGGCACCTCCGCCGCCTTCTTCTTCTCGATCCTAGCCATGGTCATGAGCATCCTCTGCCCGCCCCACAGCAAGCCCAGCACCGTCTTTGACACCTCCACCATGCTCATCACCTTCATCACGCTCGGCCGCTACCTCGAGAACCGCGCAAAGGGGCAGACCTCAAAGGCGCTCAGCAGACTCATGTCGCTCGCGCCGTCAATGGCAACAATCTACGTCGACCCCGAAAAGGCCGGCATCCAAGCCGACGCCTCAACCGACAACACCAACACCGCCGAGGAGCGCACCATCCCCACGGAGCTCATCCAGGTCGGCGACATTGTCATCGTGCGCCCCGGCGAGAAGATCCCCGCCGACGGCAGCGTCGTCACGGGCGAGTCGTATGTCGACGAATCCATGGTCACCGGCGAGGCAATGCCGATCCTGAAGCGCAAGGGCGAGATGCTGATCGGTGGCACGGTCAACGGTGCCGGGCGTCTGGACTTTCGAGTCACCAGGGCCGGGCGCGACACGCAGCTTGCGCAGATTGTGAAGCTCGTTCAGGAGGCGCAGACGTCGCGGGCGCCGATCCAGCGCATGGCGGATATTGTCGCGGGCTATTTCGTCCCGAGCGTCATCTGCCTGGGGCTTGTTACTTTTATCGGCTGGATGGTGCTCGCGCATGTGCTCAAGAACCCCCCGGCCATCTTCAAGCAGGCGGCGAGCGGCGGGACGTTCATGGTGTGTCTGAAGCTCTGCATCTCGGTCATTGTGTTTGCCTGTCCCTGCGCACTTGGTCTTTCCACGCCCACGGCGGTCATGGTCGGGACCGGTGTCGGTGCAGAGCAGGGTATTCTTGTCAAGGGCGGTGCCGCACTCGAGACCGCAACCCGCATCACCCAGGTCGTACTAGACAAGACCGGGACCCTGACCGTCGGGCACATGACCGCCACGCTCAGCAAGCGCGCCGGCACCTGGGGCAGCTCCCGCCGCGAAACCGAGCTATGGTGGCTGCTTGTCGGCATCACCGAGGCGGGCTCCGAGCACCCCGTTGGCCGCGCCATCACCTCTGCTGCACGCGAAGCCCTCGGTCTGGGCCCCGAGGGCGTCCTCGACGGGTCCATCGGCGAGTTCAGGGCCGTTGTGGGCCGCGGCGTGGAGGCAATGGTGAAGCCGGCGAGCGAGCGCGCAAACTACAAGGTCCTGATCGGAAACACAAAGTACCTCGAGGAGAACAGCGTCGTTGTTCCTGTTGAGGCCGAGCGGCAGGCGAAGGGTCTTGGCGCGAGCCAGGTCGATGAGGATGGGAAGGTGAAGGGGAGGACGTATGTTTTTGTGGCGATCGATGGGGAGTATGCGGGTCTTATTGCGCTGAGTGATGAGGTGAAGAAGGATGCGAGGTATGCTGTTGATGCGCTGCGCAGGCTGGGTGTCAAGATTGCTATGGTAGGTTTCTGGTTTTTTTTTTTTTTTTTTTTTTTTGGTCGATGTGCGCGGGTTTGAGCGGGATTTTTTCGTGAGCTAATATTGTGATGTTTGCGCAGGTTACGGGTGACCAGATGGTGACGGCCCTGCAGGTTGCAAAGGAGGTGGGCATCGACGCGGACATGGTCTGGGCCGGCGTGTCGCCCGACGAGAAGCAGGACATTGTCAAGAACATGAAAATGCAGGGCGAAATCGTGGCCATGGTTAGTCCCCTCCTCCCCTCTCAATCACAGCTTATCACTCGTCATACTAACCCACCCTTACCTAGGTCGGCGACGGAATCAACGACTCCCCCGCGCTCGCCACCGCAAACGTCGGCATCGCCATGGCGTCCGGCACCGACGTAGCCATGGAGGCGGCCGACATCGTGCTCATGCGGCCGCAGTCGCTGCTCGATATCCCCGCGGCCCTGCACCTCGCACGCACAATCTTCACGCGCATCAAGCTCAACCTCGTGTGGGCGTGCTGCTACAACCTCATTGGGCTTCCGTTTGCCATGGGGTTCTTTCTGCCGGTGGGGCTGCACTTGCATCCGATGGCGGCGGGGGCGGCGATGGCCGCGAGTAGTGTTAGTGTTGTGGGGTCGAGCTTGCTGTTGAGGTTGTGGAAGAGGCCGAGGTGGATGACGGTGGAGGGGGTGGAGGAGGAGGAGAGGAGGGCGGCGTGGAGGGGGAAGGGGGGGAAGTGGGGGTCCGGGTGGTGGAGGGGCGGGTGGAGGGGCGCGCAGAGGGGGTATGTGCCGTTGGCGGATTTGGGGGATGTTTAGTTGTGGAATGGAGGGGGGGGGGGGTTCTTTTTCTGTTGTGTATAGTTGGTGGTTGAGTTGGGTTGGTTATCTATTTTATTTCGTGTGTTGACTTGTATACTTGATACTTGGTTGGATATCCGGGTTTTTTACCTTCTTTATTTTTATTACCTTTTTCTTTTCTTTTCTTTCGTTCGTTCCTTTGCGTATTGTGTTGTGATCTCCGTTCCCTCCTTGGTGTGCCTCTTTTCCTTTGCTTTTTTTCCTCTCGTTTTTTAGCTTTTAGCTGTGCTGTGCTGTGCTGTTGTGGATGATCGATCATGTAGACGAATTCGAATCGTGGACGTGGAGGGAGCGGTATATATTGGGCTGGTTTACTATATGTATGTAGCTGTTAGCGGTAGTAGTGGTAGTGGTAGTGGTAGTTGTAGTTAGTGCTTTCTGGCTAGATATCAGGGCCTTGGTTAGTTAGTTAGTTGGTGGGGTGGAGCGGGGGTCTAATTAATCTATTAGATGTGCTTGCTTTCTCTAGTGGGTCTTGAGTGTTGTGGTTGTGTGTTTTCTGTCTTGATCTGGTTCAGCATCTATTTCGCCAGGGGGTAGATGGCCTTGGGCTCGGGCTTCGGTGGCGTGTAGATATGAGGTGGGTTTGGGCACAGTCTAGTTGGTCTGAATTAACGTCGAGGATGCTGTCCATGGTCCATCATTTTGGACGGAGGTATATATATACATGTACGTAGAGCTGCTATCATTTCCGCTGCGGTTGAGACACGGCTAGGCCACCATCTAGCAGTTACCCACTCCTATTGCTATTGTACTGTACACGGTACAGTGGCTACATGATATGTCTCTTTTCTATACCCCCATGAATATGGCCACCGGTCTCGAGCTCTCGCGTACGGCGGCTCCCGCTGGGCTGTATAACTTGTTAAAACATGGATCTCCATCATCATTGGCCCTGGGTCGTGGAATTATTAACCCCTAACTACGAATTAGGGGACAAAAAAAGAAAGTTGCTGGTAGCAGACAGCAGGCCTCTGCGCGGCGCGGCGGGATTGATTTAATATATGGCAGTGTTGGTATCGATATATGGTATTGTAGAATTCCCAGGGCTTTTTTTTTTTTTTTTTCTTTCTTTCTTTTAGCTAGCTGGCCGATCATTGTGGCTGGGGGCCGGTTTTATAGCACACTAGCTAGCTGATGGGTGGGTGGGTGGGTGGGTGCATGTAATACGTAGATGTATCTTTTTTTTTTTTTTCCAGCGGAGGAACCAACTCTACATGTAGTACGTCAGGAAATAATTCGGCACTAGCATTTCGGTTTGAATCCTTGACAGGAGCTTCGATCTATATATGTATCCCACAAGCACTTGGGATTCGACTCCGATATAAACCAGCTGACCACAACTACAGCAAATTTGCCAGGAACACAAAAGATACCACTGACATTAACGTGTAAGGGTAGATATTGAGAACACTGTATCCTTAGCCAGAAGAGAACACTCGGTGTTGTACAAGTGGCATAGGTATATCACGTTTAGAGACGGGGCTCTCCCCTAATATAATCATAATCAAGTCAACAAAAACTATACGTGAATTTCACTATGAGCACACTATGTACATACTAACCCCCACCCATTCGGCGGGGACAAGTCCCCAACAAGTCCCCATGCGGTTACTTTTGCCAAGCTAGCTTAAAAATGAGAGAGCCGACTTGCCCATTCACAGGCAAAATCACCAACGAAACTATTGTTACCATGGGTTGGACGGTCGAGCGGTATAGAGTTCACGCTCTGTACCGCAACTGCCATCGTTCAACCCACCCCCCCCCCCCTCCGGACGTAGAAAGAGATGTAACGGTCTAGGCAGTGCTGCGAACTCTTTTTGCTGGCGGGATAAGGTTGTTTCTTTTCTCCCCTTTTGCCCTAATTAAGGAGGCATTCTTCTTCTTTCACACTTCCGACTTGCTGAATTTTTTTTTATTGTATCCCAATTTCGTTTTACTCCTGATTCAAACCATTGGAAAAACGGAGGTTACTTCGCATGGATATATCACCAGGCTTGGATCACAGCCGCTCACTCGGCCTTACACGCATACCAAACTTTATCTCTGAAACGTCGCGCGAGTCCACGCAGCAGCCCTGTATATCGGTAATGCTAATTTCCCGTTAATCGGCGAACTTGATGCAACGTCTCATTTGCTTCGTTGAGATTTATGTAGTAGCACTGGCTAATTTACACACGCACACTGCACACACACACACACACATACACATTCATCATGTTCATATCATTCACACATTTACATATACCCCACTTACTCCCTTGCCTTCCAGCAGCCACCACACCATTCCATACCTTACGTACACCGAAATGGAAAGAAAGAAAAATAATAATAATCTGAAGATGGAGACACACAAAATCACGGGGAGGAGAGGTGAAAAAAAGAAATATTGCATGGGAGGGATGGCATGGGGATTACATGCTCTTTCTTTCCCTTTCTTCGTCTTCTTCTTTTCATACACAGAAACACATAGTCATGTCTCGGATCAAAAAAAACACAAAACACCAAAGAGGAGAAAATAAACATCAATAACAAAAAAAGGGTTACTGAAACTAGAATATAGGAGGGGGGAATAGAGATACGGAGAAGAAGACGGGGAAGAAGGTTAATAGGGTAGGCAGATACTAACTACTACAGATCATAAAAGTGAGGACCATGACAAAGAAAAGAAACTCCAATTTTTTCATTTTTACTTCCCCCATTCAAATCCAGAAATGCCGTAAGATGAAGAAAAAAAGGTAGTAGTAGTAGTATAAATAGACTCAACTCTTGTAGGGAAAACAGAGGCAAGGTAAACATATGGAGTAGGAGAGAAAGAAACCAGTTATTTCGCACAATGCAGATAAAATGAGGGTCGCATCTACGCCCTACACTAAAAAAATGAACCCTTATCGACTCCACCTCTCTATGCCTCTATCCCACACATACACAACCGTCCATGTCAACCTTTCGTTACTGGCACTATGACATCTTGGCCAAATCCATCGCTTCTCCCAATTTCCTTGCATCTGCCTCTTCTTTTACCCTTACGGAGTACCTCTTACGGCCACTGTCGGGGAGAAACTCCACCACGGAAACGGTCTTCAAACCCCTACCGCTGGCTGGTGTATATGTGATACCCTCAACCAATCCCACATTGAGTACGACTTTCCCAACCTCTGTGCGTGCAAGCACCCTTGCTTTTCCATTGATACGGTTCTTGAGGACTCTTAACTGTCCGACACCTCTCTTGATTGGCTTTTCTTGCTGGTTTTCGGTATATTCATAGACGATGGCTCGGACTTCGAATTTCGAATCTTCATCTTCTTCGCCGGGGCCTTGCTTAGACAGATCGATATCACCCTTGGAAAGATGGGCATTATCGTTAGGTTCAGAATTGTTGTCATCATCGTCTTTTGGGGTGAGAGGGCCTGAAGGGGGCACAATAGGAGTGCTTGGGCCGGTACCACCAAAGGAGAAACCGGTTTCTTTTACCCCGGGGGTACCAAAGATCGATGAATTTCCTGATGCATTCGGAGAGGGCGCAGAACTAGATGTGGCAGATCCAAAGAGACCTTTAGGTGCCTCAGTTTTGGAACCGAATAACGATGTACCATTGGTACCGTTAGTCTCGCCAAACTTGCTAGAAAACATACCACTACCAGAGCCAGCATTGTTGTTTGAGAAGATTGACCCGGTGGATTCTTTCTTCGGTTCACTAACGCGACCAAACAGACTGCCCGAAGGTGATGGGGCAGCTGGTGTATCATCATCGTCATCACCTTCGTCCTTTTCCAAGGGACCAGGAACCTGTGATGAAAATGGGTTTACAAATCCACCACTGTTTTTAGAGACGTTGGGAGAATGAAGAACACTGCTGTCCTTCGCAGACGGAGAACCCTCAGGCTTGTCTGCCGTGAAGATTGTATTAGATTGCGATGCTACACCTGGATCTGCTAAGGATATTGACTTACCCTCATTCTTCTTCTCTTCTTGGTCTTTCTTTTCGGACATGGGGGCAGGGGGTTTGAAGCTAAATAATGGGGTCGAAGCAAGCTTCACGCCAGATGGTGTGACAGGCGTCGACGCAGATGGAGGAACAAATCCATGGGTTGGTTTACTGGCAAGTTTGTAGGCGTCTGTTCCAGAAGTGCTGCTGCTACCACCGCCAAGAACTGATGCGAGGGCCTTTGAGGAATCAGATCCTGAAAATTTCGAGTCTACGTTGTGGATCAATGTTAGAATGTACTGAAAATTGCAGCGGATGCCTCGAGTGCCTGGAAGGATTGATGGTTGCAAAGGTGTGGGGAATAGGGTGGGGGGGAAAACTAGGACTGGGCTGTTGCCATGTTGCCATGCTGGGTTAGACGTAGATGGGTTGATTTGATTGGGTGATGTTGGCAAGGAACCGGGAAATCCACTTTACCCAGCTGCCTCCCGCCGCAAAACGAGAAGCACCACACAGGCCAGTAAAAAGCAAAAAGGAAAAAAGACCGTCGCCTCATCAAACACCACCCAAAAAGAACAAGAAACATCTACGCCGGAAAAAGCAAGAGAAAGAACGCTAGAAACGCCATAAAAGCGGCTCTTAAAGCGACTCCTCAAGTTTGATACGGAACAAATGTCGTGATAAAGAAACTAGAGATGACAGAAAAATGAACCAGAATGAATGCCTAATTACCTTCACTGTTGCCCTTAGATCTCTTGCCACCACCACCTTGAATCTCGTCATCGTGGGTGTTAATTCTCTTGGCAGTGACACCCGAGCCCAATTTCGGTTCAACACTGGCGCCCTTATAGCGCTCCCCATTTTGTTGACATTCCTTAATTTTTTTAGACTCTTTGATGTATATTTCGCAAGAAACACTCCAGTCACCCATTTGGTCTGCTTTTTTAAGGCCTTCCAAAAAGCTGTGGTTCAACGCACGCAAAGCAAACAAATTGTAGTATTCATTAAGCTGTGTTGTTGTCCATGAAGTAGAGTCAGATGGGAGCGGAGGTGATGGTGTTCTGAAGTTAGTAGCAGAAGCAGCAGCAGTCGTGTTATTTACTGCTGATGTAGATGCTGTTGATGTTACTGTAGGAGTAAACATAGCAGGGGGGGTATAGACTCTTTTGGCGGCGCTGCCGCGAGCTTAGGTGACCCAAATCCAGTAAAAGGACTAGGGCTATTAATTGGCTGGTTAAAAACACTCGGTGATTTTGGTGGTGAGTTATCAGCCATGATGTCATCGTTAATTTCGACACTGGGGGTAGAAGGAGCACCGAAGAACGGTGATTGAGCCTTAGGTGTTTCTAGCTTGTTTTCAGTAGGAGGTCCAAAGCCAAAGAGCGGCTTACTCGGTTCATCCTTCTTTTCGCTCGGAGTCCCAAATCCGCCAAAAAATGGCGATTTAGGAGGTTCAGCCTTATTATCTCCGAAGCCACCGAATGGTGATTTTGGTGGCTCTTGCTGAGGAGTGTTAGACTCTATGCCGAAGCCAAACAGCGCCTTGGGCGGGTCATTCTTTGGCGTTGCCGGTACTTTATCCCCGAATCCACCGAATGACGGTTTGCTTTGCTCTTGTTCTTTGGGCTGACCAAAGAAGCTGCTGGTGGTTGGGGTTGGCACCGGAGATCCAAAAAGGTTATTAGAGGGTTCTGGGCTGGGTGAAGGTTTAAACAAGTTTCCCGAAACAGGCTCCGGAGAATGCGAGGGTCGTCCAAACAAGCTTGAACCCTGTTGCTCAGTAGGTTTAGCGAACAACGATTTACCCTGTGAATCCGCCGGCTTTCCAAAAAGGGTGCTAGGAGTCCCTGTTTGTGGAGTGGCCGCGCCAAATGTGAAGGTAGGTGCTGGCGCGGCAGCCGGTGTAGCCTGAGGCTCAGGGGTCTTCTCGGGCGCAAAGCTATTATTACCAAAGTAGCCACCAGAGGGCTGCCCGGATGCGGTAGCTGTAGAGCCGCCGAAGTTGAATGAGGAGGTTGCCGGAGGTGTAACCACAGCAGGAGCGCCATTGTTGGCTCCGAATGTAAAGGAAGCGGACGTAGATGTAGCTGGCTTGTTATCGCCGCCGCCGAACATTGGCGCAGCCGCACTATTACTACCAAAAGTGAATGCTGGAGTCTTGTTGAAACCTGTCGCTGGTTGCGCAGGAGCTGCGTTGTTGCCAAACGTGAACCCGGTAGACGCAGGCGCGGGAGAGGCATTACCGTTATTGTTGTTATTATTCCCAAACATCCCACCAGTTGACGAGCTTTGTGGTGTCGAACCTCCAAACAGCCCTCCAAGCTGAGGGGTACCAAACCCGCCATTCGTGCTTGATGGTGCCAATGATGCGAACGGGTTTACCTTGGGCGGCTCCGGCGCAGGGCTATTAGCGCCGAAGTTGAAACCCCCTGTCGCGGTTCCCCCGAAAGTTGGAGTCGCTGGCGCGGCACTCTGAGGTGTCCCGAATCCAGAGAATCCTGCCTCAGGTTGTGATGCACCATTTGTGCCGAATCCCCCTGTTGGTGTCGCCGCAAAGAAGTTAGGTATGCTAGAACCGCCTCTTGAGCTGCCGCCCGCCGCTCCCCCGCGGCCACGTCCCTTCTTCAGAGGTGCGATCCTGTGTTCGTCAGCGAACCCGCTCCAACTCGAGTAAATAAAGAAAATAGACACCTCCGTCTTGAAAACACGGGAAAGGGGAAAAACAAGAATAACTCACTTTCTGCCACTCATAATCTTGCTATCAGCCATTTTTGTAGGATCAACGGCGTCTCTATCGTTTTCCGTATCGTGATTTCCTTGATAACTAAAACCCTGCTGCTCGTAGTCGTCCTTCGTCAGCTGTGTGTCCGACCGCCTTTTAGACATCGGCACACAACAACTCTAGCAGAGCGTAGGTGCAAGGGGGAAAGTGCTTGAGTATGTGTGTGGGTGTATGTAAACCACCCTTTGTTGACTTATTTCCTTTCTCGCTCACTCACTCAACCAAGTTTTTTTGGTTTTCTTTTTTTACTTTTTTTTCCTTGGTGCCTTGTTGTTGTTTTGGGTTTCTTTCGCCACCCCCGTTAAAACTTATGCGATAGGAGCACGAACGGGAAAGACAGAGACAGAGATGATTACGGTGATAAAAGATATGGGGGGTGGGAGGGGGAAGCTGGCGATGGAATGAGGGTGTGAAGAAGGGAGAAGGGGTGGAACGGAGGTTGGTGGTGTGGTAGAGTTGGGTGGATAACGGCCTAAAGTGTGGATCTCTCACACACGAGGAAGACAGATGGCAGAGAAAGGGAAAAAAGGGCAAGGGAGAAGAAGAGGAAAGAAGAGCGAAGGCAGAAGCGGAAGAGTGTAAAATGCGAGTTGTGCAGCGAAAAGAGGATGAGGTTGGTTGCGTTGTCGCAGAAACGCGAGCGATGGGGCTGAGCGATTACAAACCAGGGAACGCGTTGAAGAGTTATCAGTGGCTAATAGTCGCGATCAGGGGCGTTTAAGCCACACACGGTACTTTTCCTGCAATCATTGGCTGTGTCACCGTCCCTCGTGGTTAAGGCCCGCATATGTAGTAAGCTCTGTCAGAGTAGGAACGTAAGTACTTTTTCAGGCACAAACATCACTATCAGTACAAGCACCCCTCGATCTCCTGTGAATTCTGTACCCCGCAGCCTCAACTTGTACTCACATGTATTCTATGTACCCTCCGTCATACTATTCAGAATCTACCTTTAACCTCTACATGTACATGTACCATAATAATAATTCAGTGATCACAGTTCACACGATACCCACGTAGCGTCTACCACACATACACCAAAGTGATCCTGCACGTTACCGGCAGCCATCGAAGATTTGAAGTCTCCGCCTGTTGCTCCACGCTACTACTTAAAAGCTCCTTCTATTCTAGCTACATGTAGGTACACGTGCCCGGAACAAAGAATTTCCTATTTGTGCCTCACCCACCCCACAAAATTACACCAACCCCAGCCCTGTCTTCCCCCGCAGCTCGCTAACTGGCGAGTTCGATCCGTGAAATTTGCTTGGCGCAATTCGCAGGTTTAATTCGATTGCTTTGTCGAGTGCATGTTGTTTCCGCCAGGGTGGGCATGACAGGTAAAAAATGACTCGAGAGACGAACGTGAGTCATGTGCAAGATAAATATATGAAGCTGGGGTAAGTGATTTCCCCCCGATGTTAAAACGGAAAACGACATAAGAGTTCACAATTTACCCTTCCAATTAGAGTGGTTTTTAGCCCTTCTTCATTTGGTCTAGCCTCCGCGTCGTTACCCCGAGTGATTCCCGATGACGCATGTTAATTCTGGCCACAAGTATTATATCGCAATGATTTATCAAGAAATGTCTCCTAACCAGATGAACAGAGGCTCGTCAAAAAGAGTTCACCAAATATGTGGTGTTTGTTTGGTTGCCTTGCGGCAAAATCCCATCCCGGAATTATGATCCTCCGAGCTCGTACCCGGGCCCTCTAACCAGCGCCTATTGAGAGACTCAACGGCAAAATTAAAGAGACCCGCCATACAAGAATATCGTAAGATCAAGGTCATTATGGTTATGGAGGCGTGATTAGTCCAAGATACACCCGGACCCCGAGTGATATATGTACGATTCGCAGCGGTCGACCGATAGCTCAGCTCTGAAGTGCTAAATTGCACACCCCCGTTTGACAATTGTGCAAATTTGACGCTCAGCGTGACGGTTGCGTTAAAGCCCGGGTAACCAGGAACATACAGCACCCGAATGACCTACCATGTAGATACATGTGTACCTACAATTTATATAATATGACGACCCTCTAGTAACTCCCCAAGGCTGTGGAGTGCGCAGTACGCATAGATGGACAAGAAGATCATCTAGGAGCACTGAGTGAAACTAGAATCGTAGTATTTACAATTCCCATATCCCTGACGGCAGATCACATCGATCCGCCCCCATCCCGTTAATTCTGATATCCTCATCCCCTCATCTTCCCCTCGTACTGCTTACAGGCCTCTGAAGACAACACCCGCAAGAGAGACCTGTTGGCAATAGTTCCAGTCACTCTATGCAGTCTACAATGAAAAGTTGCACGACGGCTACTTGGAATTTATGTAACAGCACGGCTTCGGGTGACATCATTCGCTGAAGATGAAGGCTGCCATCCCCCCCCCCCCCCCCCACGGTGGACGGACCTGATGTTTCATGTCCAGCTCACTTCCCCAGGTGATGGTGGGGGTGAGTTCTGGGGAACCAACATGCCGAGGATAAAAGTGAGCCATATACACGTTAGATCGACAATAGAGAACTAGCGCCTCGGCCTGTGCTTGTTGGCATTTTGTCCCCCCCCCCCCCTCAATGCTCAATTCAAGCAAGGCATTCTGCCCTATATGCCTTGTGCAGCCTTGTGCAGCCTTGTGGACCTATCGACTGCTCCCTAGCAAGCCGTCGTATAGCTTGGACGAGAAACCTGACTCCCGATCCATTGGCCGATCATAATGGCTATACGAGTCAATCAGAAGGCTCCTCTTCACTTTGTCCAAGGCCACTAGATGAAAATCATAATACCATTCAAGTTTTCACAAGGCTCTTCTAAACTAATAAACAATAAGCTGGTGTAGCCAATATTTATATTCCAACTACCAACAACTAAACATGTATATCCTGCACCTCCCAGCACGCTCAATCTACCTAGACCCACTTACCTCCTATAATCGCTCTGCACCTTGCATCCCTCAGCTACCTTGTCTATCACCCGCGTCCGGCCCAAACTCTTGCCAGAAAACCTACAGCGAACCAGCTAGCAAACAAATAAACAAGAAAGCAAGCAAACAATAAGCTAATACGTAAAAATCCGTCAAGCCAACGCCCTTCCCCAAGATTTCCCAAATAATAGTAAAAGATAAAAAAATCATGTAAAGTTTCCTGGACCTTCGTTCCAATAATGACAAAAAGACAAAAGAACAAACCTCCCAATCATCCAACTCATTAAACCCTAGATATTAAAGTGATAGCAATAGGTCCTCAGAGGAGGAATAGAAGCAAAATAAAAGTAAAGTCATATGTAAGAATAATACTGGGGAAGGGGCATTATAAAAAGAATGAATCGTAATGTAAAGTGTGAAATGCGCCCAAATAAGCCTCTAAAGCCCGGAATATGAAAATGCAAACCCAAATAATGATGGTGTCGAAGGGTATAAACAAAATGGCAGGCGTTATAAATACTGATGGCCAAAAATGAATGGAAAGGGACAGTAAATACATGCTCTATAAAAACCAGAGCTCCCTATAATCAATGTGATAGAAGCTGTTAACAAAAAGTTCGCCGCCCATGCTAAACGCACCTGACCCCCAACCAAATTCAAGGAGCCCGTTCAAGGGAATAAAAATAATAAAGGAAAATAATATAAAGACCGTTAGCTCGCCACGACTATTGCCGCAACCACGCCCCCAACGACTGCACTAACGGCCAGCACACCGCCGACAATGGCAGCAATTCTCTTCTCGGATTTCCCAACACCTTTGACCTCTCCATTACTCCATGAATCTACCATAGTATCGAAGGATCCGATAGCCACAAGCAAGAGTAACGGCGGAAATAGAACACACAGAGCCAAAATAATTCTGCCAAGCCTCTTCTCCTGCATCCTGTAAGTCCTATTATGGGACTCACCCCGCATCGCCTCGGGATCGTCGTTTGAAATATCTGTCCAAGAATCGCTGATTCGCCTTGGATCGTAAAGTCTCGGTGTCATACTCCTACGTAGGTCTTTAGGCCTCCTAGGCAATCTGGTACCGTATAGTGACGCCCAACTCCTAGACTCGTTCTTACGGGGAGCACTGGTGCTGCTGTCTTGAAGTGGGGGTATGAAGTTTACTTCATCGATCCCGCTCATACGGACTTGCTTGCGCGCATCGACCCCTAATCTGTCATTGCTCATCGTATCGCTACCGCCCGCCAAACTACTTCCTGCGAGTCTTCTACCGGTGCCGCCGGGAGTCCCAGTGACAAGCAAATCCATTTCGATTCCATGTTGATTTCCCGTAGAAATATCCTGTCTCCGTCTCCCTTTATGGACCGGTGTCTGTTCGGGGCTTCTCAGCGCAGGATGAATTGGGGTTGTCTCGTTTGGAGAGTGAGTGTTTGATTCAAAAGGGCTACCAGGCACAGATCCGTATTCGGGAAAACGTGGAGATCGCGGGGAACAATTTCGTGAATCCACGGCTTGGTCGCCCCCCATCATCCTCATGTAAAAGGAGCTACTTGAATCTCGTGTGAGGACATTTTTAGGCATGGTAATAGGAGATGAGCCATACTGGCCAGCAAAAGGCATGGCCCCCGCATTGCTAGTATTGATGGAAGATAAGGGTGAAAAAGTTGAACGGGTTGGAGTAGTAAGAGCATTACGATTTGGAAATCCGTCACTTGGGTAAAAGTACTGAGGAACCAGGATAGGAGTCTCATCAGATGTTTGACGCATACGATAGACGCTAATACTAGTTAGCAAAAATGCGAACTTTTGCCCTGGAAGTGGGGATTTGAGCGTGATTAAAACTTACAATTCATATCTAGGGTCCCCCTCGTGAACCAGTACTCCTTTAGGAACCTCCTGTGACTTCAACTTTCGTCTTGCACCAAAACCACCTATCCCTGACAACAGCCTTATACCATCGCTATCACCATTATCACTGCTGTGCTCACTGCCGTCACTGCGAATAAATTTACTCGCATCACTTATGGTATGATGATGTCCAGCTCCTTGGTTGTTGGACTCGCCATCCTTACGCCCAGCTACGCTTTCACTCGAAGAAGAAGGCACTGCCTTTCCTTTGCCTTTTTCCTCCCTTGTGTACCCCCCCCAGACGCAATAACATCCATTTCTTCATCACTGAAATCTCTGTCAAATCTTGTAGATGCTGCTCCGTCTGCTGTAATAACCATGGCGAATCCGCTAGCCCCACTTCCAGCCGAGATTTTGCTTAATCTTTTCAGCTCTCTATTAACTGCTTCATCAAGCTGAGGGCTTCCTGATCTTCCAACTCCAGACGAGAGCCGACGTATCCCTGGTGAAAAATAGGAATTGGATGATGCATTCCTGCTCATTACTGGCCTGCTCATGCCACCACTCCCTCTCCCATTCGTTAAAGTCGTTTTATTAGACCCATTCCTCGAAGGTGCGTTCGGATCACTTTGGTTCATGTAGTTTAGTACACTACTACTCGCTTTCCCACTACCCTCGTAGACACCGGTTCCGCTAGGGCACGTGGGGCTACTTGGGCCGGATAACCCTGCATATGTCCCATCACTGAAGCCGCTTCCATTTCCAATATGGAACCCTTCGAAGCCAAATGTCATTGATTCTTCGACGTATCTACGCTCCTGACTTCCTGCAGATTCTATCGTGGTAGCTGTCTGCCGGCGGTGTGTCTGTGGTAAAGATGGTTGTGGGGCTGCTTGAAGACGATTTAATGGTGGGAGGTAACCGTTTCCTTCAATTCCCGAATTTAGAATTCGAGATTCGGTCTCCTCGTCCTCCTCATCAAATTCTTGATTGCCAAGCCTAGTTGAACGACTATAGTATCTATAATACCGGTCACTATTGCCCTTGCCCCCACTTGGCGATCCTTCAAGAGAATTTCCATGCCTGCTGGAGTCTCCCACCATTAAACTTGGATGCGGGAGAATCTCAACCCGCACTTCACCCCCATTGATAATCCTTTGGTTTGAACCGCCCCCATTATCAAATTGACTGATCGGACGAATTGGGCCAGTAGATTGTCTTGCGTAGAAACTTGGCCTATTCGGCTGCATCGGGCTATTTTCCTTTAGTGGCGTTGGTAGATAACTGCTGCTAGTGTCACGTTGTATAGTATCGTCCGTAGTATTTGTAGTGCGAGATAAATCAGATTCACCACGCTTATGACCAACTTTGAATACCCTTGTGATTCTCTGCTTAAGTGATGCGGGAGGCGTTGAATCCTCCGGGTGTCCAAGTCCCATCCTCTGATGTACCGAAGGCCCAACCGGTGATGGAACGTCTGGTGATACCGGTGACGGGCCCAACACCACTGAATTCGGAGGTGAAGGAGGTGTCTCCTGCCGACCAGGTAGCCTTGGACGGTTGGTAGGAGTCTTGACAACGATTTCGGCCTCTGTAGCTGGGGCAACAGTAGTGTCGATGTCTAGTAATGGCTGCTGCTGACGTTGGGAGTGGTGATCGACTAGTGCCTGTTTCTCATTCTGCCGAGCTGCAGTGGGTGAGGACGGGGTGGCGGTCTCCACGGGAGAGGGAGGAGGTGATGACACCTCTGACTGAGACGAAGGATTGGATACCATCGTGGGACGAGCAGTAGATGCCATAGCTAAATTACTCTTTCGCTTGCTTTCTTTCTGTCTCTCCTAATTGATTTGATGTGTTACAGCTTCGTGGAAATGCTGTTTTGGCTTTGCTGTCTACACGAGACGAGGACACATCAATCAATCAATGGAATTGCCGATGTGTATATATGAAGCGTCTCTACTAGCTGATTCTGCCTTGATTTAATTGTATGTATGTAGGTAGAGTAGCTATTGGTAGCTGCTGCTGATGATGATAATAAGCCACTGTCCGTCCACCCGTAGATCCCCTATGCTGCATGCAATACGGGAAAGTGAAGAAAAGGGAAATGCAGGAACCAAACCAGATGAAATCGCCACCCAAACAAACGAAATTTGCGAATTATGTTATGCGAGAAGAAGAGGCATTGTCGGACCGCAAGGTGGGGCGAGGGGGGAGGGGGGGTTATTTGATTTGGCTTACTGACTATTTGGTCTGGTTGGTATACGCCGGTGTAAAACGAGCGAGGTAAAGTAAGATCGGAACACTACGAAACGAAACGAAGGAAGGAGTATGCGGCGTGGTGTGTATGAGCTGAGAAAACGACGGGAGGGGAAATCGAAAAGAAAGAAACAAGACTGTAAAGGAGAGACAGTGGTTCGGATGGGGGGATGACGAAAGGAAAAAGGGAAAGGGACCGTGATGTGTGGTGAGCGAGTGTGAGTGAGTGAGGAATGTTTCGAGTGAGTGAGCAACCTGAAAGATGGGATGGTGTCGACTCTGAGCCACTAAACCCGAGTTTGGAATCCTAGCAGCAGGCTCCCACTAACGGCAGTGGACCCCCCTACCCTGTCCCTGGCATGACATCCACTACTCCGGCAGCTGAATGGTTCTACAAAACCAACAAATAGGACCTTCCTCGGACCTTGCCATTCAACATTGTCTTCTGTTTGGAGCCTCATTCTGCTCATGGTCTTGATTGCGAACTGAGAACGCGTAATCTCTAGTTTTCTAAAGTACATGTACTTGCCACTCGTGATCAGAGACTTCGCCGAACGGACCGGATAAACTTGAGAGCTGAGATCTCGATTCTCAACGGGTATCATACATAGGGATAGGGGGACCCCGGAATGAAGTTCTCCAGGAGTAATTACTCTATTATGCAAATGCGCACATCTCAACTTTAGTCTACATGTATGTGCTCTAACGGGCACCCAGTACTTTAGACGAGTTACCTAGTCCGCCCTATTAGAGTGCATATTCCACCCTAAAAACACATTCATAACACTCGCATAACCATCACTGTCACTGTCACAATCGGGTATATCGCAGACATCACAGATGCTGCCACCACCACCACCTCCTCCTCCACCACTACTCTGCTCGACGTTTATCGCTCTTTCTCTCCAGCACTCATTTCATCCCCTTTAATTCCTCTTGGTCTTCCCGTTATTTGGCCGTAACAGTAACAGCACCATCCTTTATTCCCTGCTCCCTGCACCCTGCAACCTCCTCCTCGCTCCTTTCCCACTTCTTCGGGCTCTGCATGACGCAAGGCACCGAAATAATGGGAAACTCACGTCACCAATCGCCAAAATTAGTCGAAAACCGTCAATGGTCAGGAAAGTTGAAAACTGTTCCTTGCGTGATGACAGCTACAGACGTAGGTACGCGGATTGAGACGCTATGCCGTTTCATTCTGTAAAAACAGATCGGAGAAGCGAGGGGTACATACATGTAGGCATGGCATGGCCCCAGGCGCAGGTACCATCACGATCATATCTATCAGGCAAGCGCAGCAATGTAATACAAAATCCGTCCCATGTGCCGCATCCGGCGCAAAACCTCTACATAGCAGCAACAACGAAAATTTAATATCAAACTTCTCTAAACACCACCTACATACCCGTCCGGCCGGAGAATTTAGACGACCGCGGGATAACCGAGTCTCTGGGAGAAACCGGAGGTGGTGGTATGTATGAAGGAGATGCGTATCAGGAAACCAACATCCTGAAAGGCTTGGAGTTCATAAGCGGCCCGAGCACTTCCACTCTCCTCTACGACATCATCATCGCCGTACCCAAATCCTTGTAATTAAGAAAGATTGAACCGGCCCCTTGGGATTTCTCCTCTATAATGCTTTACTCTGGACTATAGTAGGCAACTACTCTAAATAAAATCGCTCACTGTAGGCCCTTAACCCGCGGATCGCAATGGGGGTGGCATGACCAGGAATCGAAGCGCTCATGTGGGATGCCTTTGAAGAACTCAAGTGAAGTTACATGCCTACATATATGTATTGACATTATTATTAACCTGTTTACTCGAGGACTTTTGACCGGTCAGGGAATCAGCTATCAACGTGCGTGAGCACAATAGCCGGACATCTCTAGTTACAAGTCTCTAATCGCCAATTCCGCAGCGCTGTAGGCAGCCGCTGGTTCACCCGCGCGCTCGGTAGTGGGGTACCAGACAGTGCAAATGACCGTCCTGGGAAAAGATCAGAGAGACTTGTCCACTTTATTCCACTTGTTCTAAAGTCATAGCCGCGCCGGGTTACCTACTACCGGTTCCCGGAGATAGAGGTCGTTTGTGCATGAAAGCTTACTTTCACCTCTGTCTGTTTTGGACGTCACGCGCAGGGTGAACTTTTTATTTTATTTTTTGGTTCTTTCTTTCTTCCGGTTAACCGCAAGTCACAGGTTCTTTCGGTATCTAGCCAAAAAGAATAGTGGGGTATGGTTTGGATGAAGCGATTGATAACAGCTGAAGAGGAGAACAGGGTTATTTATATTTTATTTTTTTATTTTTTTAATTATACTTCCCTAGATAAAAGGAGTCACAAGACTACTTAATTCTTGTGCCCGATTATTTCCAGGGGCCCGATGGCTACGGCGGGTTTATTTGTATTCAAATGACACCTAGGCTGGGATCTTTTACGCATGCTGGAAGTTCAGGATCTCGGGATTGGGTGGCTTACAATTCTGACTTGATGCGGTAAATCACAATACCTATTCTCCCTGGCAGCAGTTCAAGCAGGCAACCACCCAACCTACTCTACCTCTCATAAAGTTTTCCGAGCCAAACTTTAACTCACCCTCCGGGTTTGCCCTCCATTCAGGGAGCTTCCGGAGTGCGGCTATCCGTAAGGAAGCTTTCCCCAGATAAGGAACTATGTTGCTTTTTGAACAATATGAGAAAAGCTAGATCAGGAAGCCGCGGCCGACCGTTACTTACCAACTGGGTTCTGTCTTCCTTGCGCCATACGGGTACCTAAATCAAACTGAGACTCACGTTGAGGGCCGTACTACATGGTTTACTTCATGTCCTGTCACTCGCTCGAAGAAATGATCTGCGCTAGTGGTGAACAGGAGGCGGAGCTTGTATAGGTATTACATAGAAATGTTATTGGGGAAATTTGGCCCGTATACTACTCAATGGCTGGCAAAATCCGCCCTTAATGACCATGTTGGTGATATTCAGCCTCTATCAATCAGCTTAATTGTAAAACTCGACGAAGAGGGAATCGCAACCGGAGCTCTCGTATATTACCTCACGTGTACATACACGTGCGGGGAAGGGAGGGTTTCAAAGCCCTATTTATTTCATTTTTACGAGGGACCTCCGCGATCGGATATCAGCGATTATATGTCCGTGCACGGCCTGGAGATTTCTTTTTCCCCCCTGTATGTATTACATGAACATTTTGCTAGGACCACGTGTCAGTGGCAGTAATAAATTTTTTACTCATTCATTCTTTCTTTTTGTCGGGATTGCCGGGCTTGGTGAGGCTGTTTTGTGGGGTTGAACTTAGCGTAATCATGGTGTGTCACTCGGCCGACTTGAATGAGTTGCTCTAAATCACACCTCGTTGCCAAGCCTCACGTTTGGACGTCATGTCAGAATTTTGATCGACGCCACTTACATATCTTTTACCTTTTTTGGCTTATAGTTGCCCCTTTGCAATTAAACCTTTCATACATGCGCAGTGGGCACTCTGACACTGAATGCGTCGAAAACCACTGTTGATTTCAAATCCTCTCATCCCTTTTCAAAAATTGCTTTTGATTCTACATTGAAATTGATTACATGCATATGTATATCGGACTGTATATTTGAAAGACACACCCTAGTAGGAGTGGAAATGCATCAATTTTGACGTTTCCCATACAAAAAGTTGCGAGATACACATTATTTGATGCAATAACCGCACTACTTTGTGTTAAAGGCATTCCTGTCCCATTACCGACACTTTACCGACACCTTTATTGATGCATTTACCTGTTAAAGGCAATAAAATACGACTTTACTGACTGTTTCCGGGGTTTCCTGTTTTCCAATGAAGCCTCCCCTCTAGATCTCGAGATAGTTGAGTCCCCAAATAGAATATTTCGATGGGGTCATCAAATGGTATCTGGCATCAATGGGCTTGTAACAGTTGGGGAATACAATTTCATTTTGGTGGATCCATTGTTTGGCATATACATACAGGCAGTTCTGACTTGATGCTCCTGGTATAATAGTAGGATGCTCTGTTATGATTCGTTTTATTGGCGGTGGCTTTGGTCAATCATGTGAAGCATCACCGGTGGCCGAAACTTATCCCCCCCGTGTATACACCCAAAGTGTGTGACAGAAACGTGACAGGTAAAGGCGTCAGTAAAGTCGTTGGTAAAGTCATTTTTAATATCATTTTATCGTCTGTAAAGTCGTCCGATTTCCCTTAAAACGACTTTCCCTCTGCCAAAATATTGACATTACCCACGTAAATCCAAGCTCGAAAAACGACTTTACCGACGACTTTACTGAATATTCTAGGTACACATTTCCATTCCCCCTAGAGACAAATATCTAAAACTGTAGGTAAAAGGCTGTTTTGTTAATAAAATTGACACAAGATTGCTCTCACAAGATACTGAATGTCGTGATTCGATTCACATCGCCCAAAGCTGCACGAATACTCCAGAGCTAGATTTCAGATCACATGGATTGAACCCCTCAATTTCAAGTCTTTAACACAATAAGCATTGGCGAGTATTAGCAGTAATATGCACCCTTTTCTATTAGAAAGCTAGAACCGCATAATATAAAACCAATATTACAATTCTTTATTAATTAACCTTTTGGTATAATCCTCACTTCCGACGACTTACTGGACTTGAGGCTGCGTGGCAATTCAATACAGTTTAATGAACAGAAAATAGTATACATATATGGGTGTCGTTCTAGGAAAACCGTCCGCACAGCCAAATCCTTATTCCGAAAAACCACACAACTAATAATATAAGCTCCAAATTTTCCTAAAGCTTAGAAAACCTTGGTAAGAGCCCAGGATTGATTTTTCGGTCATTGGTTCCATCAATTGGAGCCTGTAGAGTGCCGTAGCGAACTGGTGAGGCCTTGTTGCGTTGCCACACATGTACCCTTTTTCTAGATCGACACCAATATTACAACCTATGCACCCACCAAACCCTCGTAAAGATTTGGTGGGAAGGTATTGTAATTTGACAATGTACAAGTAGAGATCTATGTTAGTTCCAGATGCCCCTATAGACGTGTCTATGATACGCTTTGGCTCCCAAACATACTAAAGCTTAACCTGAAGCTGGAATAATCCCGTAACTTGTATATATGATCAAGCTATGTAAGCAAGTATATATCTATTGTTTATCTCACGCTCCTATTCTCTTCTGCGCCTAAAGTCTTGCTCTTAGCCAAATTCCTGATCTTCAAATCCAGGGACTTTACATCACATATATATCCTCGAGATCGATATCTAAATCTACACCGACCTCAAGGCCTACCACTTGTATACCCGTCACCCCGATTTAGCCCAAGTTTTAGAAGACTCCTCTACTCGGCCGTTAATTAAAAGGTCGGAAATTTTAGTAAGCATTTGGTTGCAACGATATCCGACCATTTAATTAACGCGCGAGTAGTGTTATCTGATAATCGCACAGAATCCCGGGGGGGGATCGATGAGTTCATGCTCATTTTTGTTAAGCAATTTTTGACACGGTAGAAAAGGCTAACGCGTGATTGAGATCCGAGGGTTAAAGATAGTTTTAAAGGGTATAAATAATAAAATCGGTTCTATAAGACTGATAAATAAACCGATCAGTTAATAGTACCGTCAAAAATGCCGTCAAATAATTATAAAATTATCACGCGCTAGCGCCTCTCAAATCGAGTGATAGTTCATGAAAGGGTTTTCTCCAATCGTAAGATTATTGGGGTGGCACTTATACAGCATGTAGTTAGCAGAGTATGAAGTTATTTTAAATTTATGTACTCATGATTTTTGATCGCGAACGTATTCCTAGGCTCTTCTTTGATCATCAAACGTGGGGCAGTAATAAGGTATATGTTGTTAGACTAATCAATCGCGATTCGCTCCTCACCAAATTATCCTTGAGTGCTCCTACCTTCCATATATCCCTTTATTCCTCAATTCTGCCGCCCAATTCCCAAGATAGTCTCCATACGACATATCTTCATGTATTATCACTCGTGTGTGTTATGTAAGCACATGCGAGCAATGTTTGTCATTAGTTTGGCAACACAAACAAAACAAAGTACAGAAGATAATATTGTAATCACGCTAAGGTACGGATCCAGTTAATTGGTTTTATCGAGAGACTACAGCCCCTTTCACTATATTGTTCTTATTGTCGTAAAGACTTCAGAGCTTTACGTTGCTCGCGGTCGAAGCCGAGACAACGAAACACAAACAGTAGCCAGACGTCGTTCTGCCTAGGCTTAAGCCACTTTCAGTTACTCTACTCGTGTTTTCACAGCGTTTGTGAACACAACCGGCATTACATACACACAAAAAATAGCCAAGACAACCTTTTTGTATGGCATGCAATAGCGGTGGTGTTCACAAACGCTATGAATAGACAAGTACATCCCATAAGACTAAAATAGAACTTAGGTACAAATACATGACAAAGTATTTCTGGCCACTACGACGTACATTATAACACGCGACGGACGATGCGTCACGCACAATGCACGTGGAGATGGAGGACACCTCACAGGACATCGTGGAGCTACCTACGAGGTACAACGCGGGCTGTCATGAACAAGACAACCAGCCATCTATCAATTTCAGGACAATCAATCAATCAAGTTACTCGCAGCGGACGACTTCAAAATCAAGACTTGAACTATATATATTGATCTAGAGATTTCCCACAAACACAATGAAATATCTTCATCACTCAAGGCTCACTCGTTGTTTCTGCAATGGCGCTAATTTACACCAAAAATTTCATTATGACATTACAATACACCATAGGTGCAAAAGAAAGTAAAAAACACCACCATGGCCTCAAGTTCCCTGTTGATTCTCGAATGAGGATATATGTAAGATCAAAGTAATTTCAGCCGTAGATATCAACTATGATTGACCTCCACCGCTGATCCATGCAGCCCATGCAGCCTCAAGACACCCCGAATCGGAGTCGTCACAATATTTCGTATTGGCGTATTTCCTGTACTATTATTAGCAAACAAAGCTAACAAAAAGTTACCCAATGAGCCCGGTTATTACATGAACTCGTGACATTTATCTATTCCAGCCGGAAGCTCGGCCTCAGTGGACCTCATATGCGAGTCGAATTGTTTGTCCATCTTCATACATTTTATGGCCTAGGTGCTGGTATTAGAGATAGGCTCAAGTGAGGACAGAAATATGAATAGGAGACTCACTTCATGATCAGAAGTACCAGTGTAGCCTTGGGGAGCTGCTTGGACAAGTGCAACTACGAGAGCAAGAATGGCGAAAGTAGGGAACTGCATTTTGAGCGAGGATTGGTGATTAAGAGCTAGAAGTATTGGAGAAATTGGATTGATGATGAAAGAGAACCGCAACGACGAGAAATCATCCAGGTATTTAAATCCCTAGCTACTCTAGGGATATGAGGAGAATGAAAAGAAAACACAATCCTAATACAGTCCTGAGTGGGGTTCAGATACGTGGCAATCACCATCATGATCGACCCGTGGAAGGAAAGACGGCCTGCATGACATAGAGATTGATTTGCGGAGTTTAACAAAAATAAGCTCATGATCTAGATCAAGTTAAGCCGTTGTCTCAGTTGAGCTTCTGTGTCGGGCCGGGACAGTGCGCGGAGAGACGTCCTTATCCTGTTCGACGCGCCGGTTCTTCTAGTTGGATTTATAACTTATCGTGAGTATACGTTTAGAAAGATGCAATGTCTGCTCTAGTCATAAGCTTACGTATATCATGATATAAGAAAAGCTAACTGAAGCTTCGAAGCCGAGTAAATCTGATGCAATTAATTGCGCAAACAGAAGAGATCGTGAGTGCATGCATGTCTTACTCCGTCCGAAGGATCCTTACTACTGGTCACTAGTGAAAGCCACCTCACCTAATTTAGGCTACGGAAGCTGGTTAGCCTGGCCTTGCATGTCAACTCCATTGTCGTTTAACCAACAAGCCAATAAATCGACACAATCAACGAAATATACAAACTTCCGACCAACCACATCATGAAATAGGAATAGACACGAATGACTAATAAGGCCGAGCAACAAATGGATGCTAGTAAGAAATCTAGTATGTATTAAAAAGTAACTCAAAAAAGAGCCAAGGATGAGAAAATATGCTTTTGCTAGAGTTCTCATCCCTAACCTAAGAAAAAAAATATATACAATTGCAAATGCAATCAATGCTATCATGGTTGAGCACACGGCCTGTTATTCTTCCAGTCGTCATGCGTGCACACATTTGTAGGCTTTCCATCTTTATCTCTATTATTTTGCTCCCTTTCCTTGCGCTCCCTATCCTCCCTTTCCCTCCTCTCACGATCTTCCCTCCGCTCCCTATCTTCCCTCTCCCTCCGCTCCCTATCGGCTCGTTCTTTCCGCTCCCTAAACTCCCTTTCCCTGCGCTCCCTGTCTTGGTCACGTTCCCGCTTTGTCAGTTGAGAGGTGCCTAGGTCAGACGCTTCAAGCTGTTTTAACGTGGCTTCAAGACAAGGCCGGGGGTCGCTCGGGATCGCTGTTCCAGGCTGTGGCGCAGGCTTCAGTCCGCATATATCGACCGCGCGGTTCCTGAACGGGTGTCAGTATTATATATAGCTCATTTGTATTATTATATTATATGTATCAGACTGGCTAATAATCTTGGTCTTGGCGAGAAAATTAATAGGGTATCTAATTGTCGACCAATAAGATTCTCGTGTAGAAGGGGATATAAGGAGCAATCACCATTTTTCTGTGCATTCTGCTGGAAAAGCTTCATTCTGGTCCATCTTGAATATGTCCTCGCATCGTTTATTTGATGCCTAGAGATTTGTTAGTCTAGTTCAGCGTCGTTCATTAGATTGATGATATGGAACAGGTGCTGTGCTGGGAGACTTGCATTTGCATCATGATCAATTGAATGAGTATGGACCGGCATTGCCTGGACGACTGTCGTGGCAGCGGTGAGAACACTGAGGACAATGGATTCGAGCTTCATTTTTAGAACAAAAAACTTCTGGATCTGGATCTGGATCTGGATCTAATGGATAGATAAGATATGGGTAGTGAGGGCCAAAGTTTATAATCAAAGTTGAGTCGATTGATGAGAGCTAGAAGGCACGATCGATAGAATGAGACTGATGGGACTGAGATCGAGCAGGTAGGCTGTGTGCTATTTAAGCATCAAGGAAAACGAAAAGAAAGAAAGAAAGAAAAGAAAAAAATTTTCTTTTTGAAAGATTAATTAATATTACAGTTAAGCCAAGAACGGATTGACTGAATTAGCTACATGGCGAATATGTCGCGGCGATGAGTCTCTAGAGAGATAATCAAGTCGAAGTGAATTCGAATAAAAAAATGCTTTGGGCTCTGCCATATGGGGGGTACGTGGTGGTGGTGGTGGTGGTGGTGGTGGGTGAATGGATCTGTATGTGGGGCTCACCGCGCGCCGAGATTTGGAATTCCCCAGCAAGTCACGCAGAAGACATGTGCACCTGCGCTGTAATCTGATATGGGATGGCATATGGTCAGACGTCAAAAGGGAAAGGAAAAAAAAACCGTTCTGTTTCGCACCGATGTGTCTGTTTGGGAATAAATAACTATATGTGTGTGTCTAAACTCACTCGATCGCCTTTCCCGCCGACCAAAACCGCGGTCCGAACAGAAACATCAGACGAGGGGAAAGCTTTATGGGAGAAAGAGAGCGCATTGATGCACCTGGTACGTATCAATCAGCATATCACTCAGACTTTCTGCAATCAAGTGTTTGAGATGTTTGGTTTAAGCTCACGAAAAATAAGATTGAGAATTGGCCACATGCAGTTAAACAGCTAGCGAGTGTCTCACCCTAGCCCTGTGATCTCCCACAAATCAATGCCAGGGAACAAGCACGGCTGGCCGGTCGTGTGAACACTAGGAAATAGTTAGCCAGGTGTTTATGGACTGGAGTATCGGTACTTCATGACGTTTTCGAAGACGACCGTTATTGAGTGCCATATAAAAATATGGATTTGGCGCGATATATAGGTATGTAATAGCAGTCGCATTTGGAAACGTCACGCATCTAGGGGTATGGAGAGTAGTTGCTCTACTCTACCTAACGTACCTACATTAGTAGCATCCCCTTTTCTCGGAGGTTTCCTTTTACTTAAGTTTTGATTTGCGTCTTATAATAACCGACATATAACTGATTGTTTCAGACACTAGGGCAGCTCCCACGACGTCCCCACTACACTCTGCTACTAAACTAAAGTTAACAAATCATTAATGAGCCGGAGAGTTGTCCGTAGCGAAGGGAGGACACGTCCAAGATACATTCCTACCTATTGCCCCGTCTACAATCTAGCCCGACAAGCACAGGAACGTGCCACGCACGGAGATACAGAGCGAGTGGAGAGACTGCGATTCAAAGCCGACATTTTGTATTACGCGAGACGCTAATCTATGTATGACTGCACAGATCTCTATGTCTGTGGCAATTCTGCATGACCTTTTGAAATCTGTCTCGGATAGTTACACTGTTCATATCGCGATACCGATATCCATAGGTTTTTGTTTTTTCCTCCTATCTATCCGTCCGTGGTTTGGGAGCCGGAGCTAGCTACAGATACTTGCGGCGGTCCGGCAGAGTGTGTAGTAAGGAGAATCAGCCAAGAAAACCACCAGCCTACTACAGTAGTTTAACTAGCTACATCTAGTTTTCCTATTGGTTAATCCTGCTTCTACATACACATACCTGTTCGCTAAAACTCTCCGCGCAAAACAACTGTTTTTGACCACCTGTTATTTTAATTCGGAGAAACACATCATATCACTGGGCCATGGGGGCAAACTCTCATATTCCTCTTGAGATTTTTAGGGTTGAGAGTCAACAAGGCCAGCCGGTCGGAAACATATAAACCTGGACTCAAGGCTTTGATCGGATCTTGATGTGCGGGATCTGTCAAACGAGTGAAAACAAACGACCCGTTCTTCTTAGACACGGACAAGCACTCTAGGCCTCGCACCATTTTCTCGGTGAATTAAATATTATTTTTTTTTACAATTGGGATACCAACACCGAGGATGTTGATACATTCTGTGCGTTTTTCTCGAACAAGATGTCACGCTTTAATACAAGAATACATACTCTTATTCATCCCGCGGTACCTCGAGCTAGGCAATTAGTACGACCCGACAAAACGGCCCCCAATGTGCGTGGGGTTGTACTAACTTTATATTATGAGGTGTGAAAGTAAAAGGGGAAATACATAATTGATTACTCAAGGTAATCTGACTTTTGCTTCAGAACGCCCCCATTGGATGGATATCGATATTGGGCGTGGGCTGCGTGGTCTTTGACCTGTATTGGATTTTTCTCCTCGGTCGGTGTTTTTGTTTCAGCGTTTCAAGGCCAAAGATCATGATCATTTGATCTCGAGCCTGAATACATTGTGAGGGAATAAATGATCCTCGAGTGACAGCTCATGAACATAGTCCCACAGAATATCTGTGGCCCCCCTGGCAGCACGGGAAACCATAATATCCCGATGTGCCGCAACGAGTGACGAACGATGATCCGCACGCACCCGATGCGGGGAACGACGTCACGCGACATGCCGAATACGGGAAGACGCATCTGGGCACTGGCCAGACAGCCAGGAGTTGTTGGTTGGGGGAATTTATATCAGAACATACATAATATTAACAACGTCGATAACTTATCGCCACCTCTCTACAACAGCCCCTCCCTCCCTCCCTCCCTCCCTCCCTCCCTCCCTCCCTCCCCCTCTTCGATCTCTTCGGGTGGTTTTTCTTTGGGGACTTTCTTCCTCTCTCTTTCTATAGATCTAGCTGTCGGACTGGACTCTGACAATATGACGAATAATCAGCCTCGGACAACCCCGCCGTTCTGGTCGTCTTTCCAGTCACCCTCGATAAGCCCTCCGTCCGTGAGGACTCCGCTGCTACAGCCCGTACCGAGCACAGCAGACGAGGTGCCATTTTGGCGGCACAAGCTACCTCGCGCAGCATGGGCATATCCGCTATATGTGAGCTTCACTGAACTGAGTTCTGTTCTTTTACAGCAGAGAGACTACAGAGGAGAAGCTTGTAAAGTAGCTGGAGGTCGCTAATACTACCCCCCCCACCACCAACTCAGGGAATCTACTACCTCCTCGCCAACCCCCCACTCCTCCCCCCACTCCTCTCACGCATCGTCCCCCTCCTCCTCCTCTCCATCTTTGTCCTCACCGTCACCTTCACCTTCCTGTACCTGCCCCAAGTAGCCGTCCTCCTCTTCTTCAATGGGCCCCTCGCCTTCGCCAACGCCGCCATCCTATGTCTCTCCGAAGCCGCCGCCATCATAACCTTCGTCGCCGAGAACTTCATGACCGAGGAGAAGATCGTCGAAACGTTTGACGGCGTGCTCCTCACCGAGGCCGAGAAGCTCCCCGCGGGCCTCAGACTGCACATCTATGGCCTTATCGCCGAGTGCCGCGAGCTGCACCTAGGTAGTGAAGGGGCTCTGGAGAAGCTCGGGAGACATAAGAAGAGCCCGTATCTGAGGTTCTCGCTGAGACTGACGGTTGAGTTTATCCTGGAGCTGCCGCTGAACTTGATCCCGCTTGTGGGGCCGCCGTTGTTTATTGTCTTGCAGGGTATGTTTGCTGCCCTGTTCTCTCTACCCTACTGCACTCCCGCTCCCGCTCTCACCACCCCGGGGTGAAGTTTCTCGCTAACACAGTGACGGACTAGGATACCACCTCGGGCCACTATCGCACTACCGCTACATCCAGCTCGCGGGCCTCTCCGACTCGCAGAAGAGGGAGTTCATCGGCATAAACAGATGGCGCTACTGGCTCTTTGGGCTGGTGCATGTCATGCTGCAGATCACGCCCGTGCTGTCCATCCTGTTCCTGTTCACGTCCGCGGCCGGTGCGGCGCTGTGGGCCGTTGAGGACCAGAAGCGGCTGTGGTTTGGTAATGGCCCTGCAGGCGCGGATCTGGGTCCGGGTGCGGAGGTGGGGAGCGCGGGATGGTGGAAGAGGGTGGGGAGGGCGGCGAGGGGCGGGGGGAGGGTCGCGGTGGGAGGGTTGAGGGGCATGGCCGGTAATAACTAATCGTGTGTAGGTGGTCTGGAGTGTGGGCGAAATTGCGCAAGTGTGGATGGACAATGTTTGAGGCCGTGGTTGTGGCGGCGGCGGTAATAGTGGTGGTAGTGGTACTGGTGGTGATATGCATTGCATGAGGATACCCCCCCCTTTTTTTATCTTGTTTTCTTTATTTTTTTATTTAGCAGCACAGCATGGCGCTGGGTTTTTTTTATACGGGGTGGATTTAAATGGTTACGAATATTTATGCTGCATATGCATGTCGGTCGATTAATGATATATTATTGACATTTACTTTTTTATACTCTTTTCCGCTATATCCTGCCCGGTACACCCATTGTCACTGCGTACAAGTACAAGTATTCACTCAAGTATGTACCATATTTAGAGTCCGGGCATAAACACCCACCTACCCGCAACTCCCCGACTCAATATAACGTATCTACCCGTATATATCCATGCACCGTTGATTATCAACGAGACACAGCGGCGCGGCCCTTAATTCCTACCTTCTAGACCTACACCGGCCCATATATGCATACTCTCTCTGTCTCTCCACCACGTGCGAACCGAAAAACAAAGAGACCAAAAGACTGCTCTCATCCTTGGATCATAATCCTTCTCCCTCAATTACTAGGTAGGTACCTAGCTGTCGACTAACCTTTCCCCACAAAAACGGGTCCTAACGTCGTCTTTCACAAGCTATGTATGTACATACACGTGCAAAATACACAGACATGTATGTACTTTGACCCCCAAGCTAGCTATGTAGTAATCATCAACGCCTCCCCGCAAGTACCCCGAAGTCTCACCTCACCTCGAGCTCAACCCCAACAACTTTTCTAGAACTCCAGGGTTAGGTTTCCAGCAATACGAGAATTAACTAGAATCGAAAAAGACCCCTTTATCTGTCCGTTTATCTGTCTGTCTAGCTCCCGGCCCTGGGGATATACGTATAAAATGTATACCCATATACCCGCTGAAGGCTCATGGTCAGAGTCACACCAATCCCCGGGATATGTAGAAGCACACACCAATTCCCGGGATGACAAGAACACACGGCTTTAGCTACATAGAGCAGCTAGCTGCGGCGGTGCGCGACGGGAAACCTAGTATCTGGGACAAAGTCCACGCGACGATAGGTAGCTGCATAATCTAACTAACTAGCTAGTTAACCCAGGGCTTTGGAGAAGTTTTCATGTGGGATCGGCGTTCGGCGTGCGAATTAGTGAAGCGCTGGATATATATGGGTTTACCTATATACCTATTATAGCTACCCCCTATCATTCACGGGAATCTCTGGATCAATCATATCGGTCCTTCTCTCTCATGCTCATCGCTCATATGTGTAGAGAACCATGTACCATGAGCTGTTTCAAGTACTACGCCATGTGAGAAGAATAGCCATGGAACAGCACCCACCGTACCGCTGATACCTCGCGGCGTCCGAAGTTGATACCGGAGGAGCTAGCCATGGGAATTAACCCCTTAATCTTATCGATATCAATCACTCCCGAGCGTCTTATCATGATAGTAGTAGTACTTACCAAATTGTGGGGGGAAATGGGGGACACCCTGCTTACGCCTTCTGATATGGAATACACTCTCAATGATAGAAAACTTTCGATATAATCGGCGGGTAGAGCTTTCGCCTCTCCATGGGTGTTTATAACTTTCATCCTCTACCGCAAGCTCCCATTATGCCACTACCCCCTCTCCTCCCCTCTCCCCTCATTTATGGCTCTATCACCCCGCTTACCCCTTCCGCTTTCCCTTCTCGAGACATACAACAACAATCGGTCTAGGACATAGAGATATAGCCGTAGTGGGTTCCAAGGTACGACCTATAATCAATCATTTCTACGAGGAATGGTCCGGAGTACAACCATAGCTGTGATTCAGAAGCACTGTATCCGCTCGACCTTCACCCGGGAGATGGCGACTCGCACAAAAGGAGTAGAGCATGAAGGGTGGGTTTCGTCCAATCTATACAGCGTGCTTGAAGCGGAGTGATGAACGGCGGCGGCGGTGAGATTTCGTTATGAGCCCGGGGCCCGGTCTTCGAGATTCTTGCCCGCATAACATCGGTAGTCTGGGACCGCCAAAGGTATTGGCGCCTTTAAATGAAAAGAAAAACAATGTTGATTTTAACGGTTACCGGTAACGGGGAGATATCAAATCTACGCATGTACCTTCAATTGGATTTTATGAATAATAGTTGTGCCCGGGACTGTCGTTATCCAGGAGACTGTCTGCACTTTGTGTTCGCTTGAGGTAAGGACTTTTGGGGTTCCACTAGCAGCGTCCTGTGACCCCGGTGGTAGAAGTTTGGTAGTGTAGATTGGTGGTTCTGCCTGTGTTCAGTACCAAGCCTGGTCAGTTATACAAGTACGGCATTCCAATATAAGCTAGAACAGTGCAATCATAGATTATCACTCGTCATACGACCGGGGGGACGGTCCCGAGCTTTGCTCCCTCCAGGGGCTAGTCGCTTGATCGCACATTGACACGAAACAAATATTTGTTATGAGTGCCGGTTGGAGTGGTGCTAGATAGCCTTTATCTCTGAAGGTTGAAAAGTTGCTCTGGCCGGGTGCGTATGTTAGGCGCCGGGCCTCTGTATGTCCGCGGTGCCGACTGGCCCCGCCCAGATACAGCTTTTATAACCGCACTCTATCTCCTTTTCACACTCTACTCGTTCATACTCCCCATTTACCGTATCCTTCTGCGCCTCAAGCGCCCCGGCGCCGCGCCTACGAATTCGGAAATCGTCGTTGGCCGGGCCTACCGCAACTCGCTCAGGCGGGCCTTCCACAGCAACCGCTTCCTTCTCGCCAAACACTATATTTTCCATGATGATATACCCCCATAGGCCTGCTGCAAACGTGTTACTGTCTGGGATAGGTTGACGCGCAATAATCGGTGCAAGGTGTCTCCCGTCAGTCTCAGTTGAGGGGGAGGGGAGCGGGTGCTGCGGGAACAGCTCATCAGGACGGCATAAACTGCATAGGACCCCCGTCCACGGCGTCGACACCCAAACCGCCACGGTGTAACTATCTGACGGCGAAGCCACTCCTGCTTGCGGAAAGTGAAGTCGCTGCTGGTAAACCTATATCTAAATGACAACATTCATACTATGGTACAACTGTTGCGTAATCCTGCTCTGAAAGTCTCATACCCCAGTCATTCCTATGCTCTTTCAAAGTTAAAACCTCCAGGAACTTGCCAGATCCTATATCAGCCTTCTATTTGACTCAGAAGTGAAACCCGCGAGAATCGGAGAAAGCGAGTGATATACCATGCTTCACCTAGACCTCACAATGTTGTCGCAAACTAACCAGACCTACCAGCCATGAGGAGAACGGCAGGTTTAGCTGTTCATTTACTTATGTAGGAATACTTTTAACCTTAAATTTCCCAATTGGATCCCGAGTAATGCCCGTAGGTTTTTAAAACCATGGGGGGGAGAGATATATACCTGGACCACACGCTACTTGGGAAACGTGGACATACTCCGGCGTCTTGGTCCATAGATCGTTTACACTGTGAATCTATCCTGGAACCCTACTCCATTATGCATCCAATTATTCAGCCTTGACATTTGGATGATTACTAATCACCATATCCACCGGCGGTAGCAAATGGGGAAGCGCGTGCAGAACAAACCAAACAGTGTCTTTCGTTCTTCGGAGTTACGTCATGTCTCTCTCACGCGAGATAAAGACCAGTGAGCAAGGAGAGCAAACTTCCGAAAACAAAGAAAGAGCAAGGTTATTGATGACGTTGCCAGGGCAAGGTCAACGAGGGCATCAGCCAACAACAACAGCGATTGTGTACTGGGTTGTCTTTGTCGAGAAATCGCCAATGCTTGAACATGTACCTACACAGGACCTCACTCACCCTAGCTAGGTTCCATCCCTTTAATTGGGGGCTCGCCTTTGACATTTCCTCCACGTATGTCTGGGCATAAAATATCACTCATCCCTGTATCTCGGTCTCTCTAGACTTATGTACGTAGCTTTTATCACAGCTAGAGTAAATAGAGATAGAGACAGATTAGTCGATCGGGTTCTAATTCCGATTCATTAGCATGTAAAAAAAAAGAGGGAAATGGAAAGGTTGGACGAGTAGCAGTACCGAATTTGGATTTGAACGCATAGATATGGTTTATACAACTGTTGCTCAGTAGCTAGTGGAGAGAATAATGGCAATAATGTTTATTGTTATTAGTGATTTAGACGCCTTAGAAAGGGCACAGCTAAATAATAAAGACCAAGGAATAATCAGACCCTGTATGATAGTAGGTAGATAAGGTTTTTGAAGACTCTTACCTCATTGAGTAGTTTAAGGGCGAGATAGAAGTTCACCTTTGAAGCACCTCGTGCCCGCAAGAAAAAGCAAAACAGCGCTGCTGCCATGATTTACACCTTGAGGCTTTCCCGCATGGCTTCCGAGGAATCCTAAATGCAAAACCCGTTTGCCCACCGGTTTTCGGGTGAGACAATTATTGACCTGCAGCCAATATCCGCCCAGATAAAGCAACCCACCCAACTAGAGCATCTAAGTGTTTGCATGTGCAATTAATTTGATTGATTGAATTTCTTCTCTCACGGCCTGCAATTTTCGTCATTGAAATTGTGGCTTGTATTGGCGGATTATCTCCCAACCATCACCTCCGGCACTAGGACAGGCTTGTGGGTGCCGGTACGTGTGACGGAATAACTACGCGAACCATTTTTTTTTTTACTAAGGTTTCAGATAAGCAACCAAATAATCTAGCAACCACCACCACCTTTAAAGCTTCCGCTACTAATCGGTTGACAAATGCGGTTGTTAGCGAAATATCGACGCACACAGGAAAAAGTGTGTTGAATTGAGCCTTGTTGCCCAGAATCTTAGGCCGCCTATCCCTATCTTCCACTGGATACCACCGCAGTGATATAGTTTTGGAATTAATTGACGCTCTTTGCCGGCGGTTCTCGCTCTAGAATTTTCTTGAGGAAAGAACCTCCACCACCTGGTTCCCGGATGATAAATGACATCGCTGTCTTCTCGAGGGCCTCATTCACGGGCGACAGCTAAGCTTTTCACCACCTTGTGGCTGACCGACTAGTGACGTAGTAGCGTAGAAGAGCTGGGGGAGGCGGATGCGTCGGCAGTGGCTAAGTAGGAAATGATTGGTTACCATACTTTTGAAACCCGCCGATATGGTTTGTCGATTCCTGTTTTCGGGCTACAAGGAAGGAATATCGATCTCGGCCGCCTAAATGACGTGAGGTGTGGTGTGGGGTGAGGATAAGTAGAGGAAGAGGTGATCAAGGGTATGACATATTTCCTCTTCAGCTTAGGGTATATAAAACCCTCGTGAATGAAAGTATTCCCTTCCCATCGTCCTCATCCAGAAGTGAGTTTTCACAGCAAAAAACCCCTACCTCTTGCCTGCCTTGAGCTAGCAACAAAGTAACTCAATCAACCCGCCATAAATAACCAATCGTAATACTTTTCAACACAAATCCTCCAAAGATACTCAAAGATGGCAGCCGGTATTGCGAAGACGATCACCTGGTTGATTCGAACCCTCCAGTTCCTCTTCGCCATCATTCTTGTTGGAATCATCAGTTATATGATCCATGAGTACAGGGAGTTCAGGGACTTCAGACACCATCTGGGGATCAAGAACCCTGGATTCAAGCCACCCCGCGAACTCATCGTTCCCGAAGTCTTCGTATGACTCTTTTCCAGCTTTCAAGCTCATCTGTTCATTATATTGTCTAACGCAAAAAACAGTCGGTTCTGGCAATCTTGTTCACTGCATTCTCGATCATGGCTGTCTGCTTTCTCGGATACACCCTTCAGCTACTTGCGGCATTCCTCGACTTTGTGCTTTGGGTCGGATACCTTACCTCTGCTGGCCTTCTCCGCCATAACTACCATGTCAGAAGTAGCAGGAACCCACTACGCAACACCATCACCGATATGAGGCAAGAACGCGGGATGAATCGTCACGAACATCGCATTGGCGGGATAGTGAGATTGCTTGTTGCGTTGGTTCTTATTCAACTGTAAGTTTCTTTCGGTTTATCTTGAGATTGAATAATCGGAGCTTACTTAAGTAGTTTCCTGTTCACCTTCACTACATTCTTGTCCATGTGGGTTGCCAAGAGAGACAGAGATAACCGTGTAGTTCACGAAAAACCGCGTCGTAGCAACGCGCACACTCAGATTGTCTAAGTCAGTCTCATCATGGGTTGGGTTTCGGGGTGATGTCTGTTTTAAATACCTTTTTGATGAATTGATGATGCATGACGCTCTTTCTTGTTAAGGCCATGGTTAAGGTAGGTGTTAGGAGAGGTATATGTAGGCGTTAGGAGAGGTATATGTAGGCAATGAGAGGGGGGCATATAATTGCGTTGATGTTAGCTGTAATACTATCTTTATGAATTATAATTTTTATGTATTTGGTTAATTGCAGTACACACATGCATATGAATATATGGTGCGAGTGATATATGGTGCTGCGTTGCTAGCGTTGCAACTGGAATTTGTGAGAATGCAACTTCAGTGTCACCTTACACCACAATTCCAACAAGAGGTTTCGTTGAGATAATTATGTTGTATTACCTAGGATATGGTTCAAGGGGGTGCTTTCAAAATTTGGTAATTGTTGCTGTATCTACAAGGTCTTGTAAGCTAGCCTCCAGGTATTCTTGACAACCTGCGAGATCTTTAGTGGCTTACCGGCGGGTGCATTCCCCTGGTCTTATCCACCGTTCACTCCGGAAAATTACCCAGAATAAATCTATAACAGTAGTAATGCATTATCAAGAGTAGTGTTTGATATTACTAGGATAGAGAAAGACCGCCAGTGTAATAATTGTCTGGTCAGCCGTAGCCATGATGTTTTCCATTGCGTCCCTCATGTAAAATGACAATTCGTATTCGCGGCCGAAAACACTAGAAGCTTGTAAAATTTGCCAGAGAACTAAAAACCAATGAACTTCATCACAGAAGAGAGTACCATAGGAAAGGGTTTCACCTGTCAGGACAATGGCGAGATGCCCTCCGCTGTAGGTCTCGTTTTGTGGCTATGATGGTATTGACCTTGGGGGTGGAAACGTGTGTGGTGGATCAAGCCGTAGAATTTTAATCAGATAAGATTATTGACTGTATATACGTATACATTACATGTACATTTACCTTATACTGTAGATGTATACACATTGCATGTAACTTAAGTGCATTTCCTGTATTTAAGTACATCTTAGTACATGTACATGTAGTCATGCAAGCTGGCAAGTGTAATGATGATCTAGCCTAACCCACCTCGGCATTGATTTTATAGTTTCAATTTCGCGTCCTGTAGAGAACGTTTGAACTCATTGCAAACTATCCAGCCTTCGCCCCCCCCCCCCCCCTCTCACTCCAACCACACCTCCCTCTCCCAGTATCATCTTCCGTTGAAGGTAGATACATACCAGCGACATCTCAGTACAGCAGTGCCATCGAACACGCTAAAGGGGCGCTCAAGCCCAGAACAACCCCAACTTTTTGGTAGCAGATAAGTAATAAACCTCTCTATCGCGTACGCGTCCGATTTTTGCTCTGGACATGCGGTAACGGATAGCTTTCCAAAGTCATGATCGTATTTTCTATAAACGACAGCTGGATATAGATTTCCCCCCCAAAAAATTATAACTAAAGAAATAAACAAGAACTCCACAACCCGAAACAATAATAACCACCTCCTTCATTAAGAGGGTTAGTTCCTATGGATATAATGGACCCTATTGTCCTGGTTCATCAACTTATGCAATACCTGTATCAACCCTCCCAAACCAACCACCAGCGGAATCAATTGCCCAGTTGAAAACATATCATTCACTCCATGCACCTCATTCCACATGATTACACACTCCACTGACACAACTGACATAAACAGCAATATAATACACATTGCTGGTGTCCACTTATTCAACCTATCCGCCGACTCGGCTGCAACTTCCATGATTTCATCAATGCCCTTCTCGGCCTTTGACTGTGGTTCTAGGGGTGCCTGGCGCGGAACAGAGTGGTACAAAGTGCTGAATTTTGCCCGTGTATTACGCAGGTATTCTGGGCCGAAGTTCCATGCACTGTATCCGAAGAGGATGGTGTATATGAACGCAAAGAAGCAGGCGATGGCTTTGTTGGCTGTGCGAAACCAACCCTCAAAGAGAGGCTGCTTGCTGAATGCGAAGCCGATGGGGTCACAGGTCGCATTAGGGAGCGCGGCGAATTTATTGATTCCAAGGAACCAGAACCATACGGCGTAGCAGGAGACTGCCCAGTAGACAAAAAATCGAATCATTCCGCCCCAGGAGGTCCCTTTCCATTCGGATTTATGGGTGGCTTTGTTGGTTATTGTGGAGGCCTTATTTTGAAACTTATTAGCTGGGTTTTTGAGTGCTGGGTTGGATAGTTAACTTACACTTCCAACGACCTGAATGATGATGATGAAAGGATCAATGACATGTGGCTTCGGATCCTGGTTCGTATTCGCCATGGCCATAAGAGCTGCCAACATAGCGAGTTGGAACATGGTATTAATATCTCTCATTTTTGTGAGCTTTTTATTGTGAAGCCAGTTGGAGATGTATGTTGATAACCATTGTGCATACAAGCCAACCCTGATACCGAGTCCGTATATATCCTGGTTTCCCTCGAATCGACATGGCTCTAGAGCCTCTTTAGCTGAGCTGGAAGACTGTCGTTTCGCTTTCGAAAGGAGTGGAGATGCAGATACAGCTACTGAACTGAGCAGTAACAGGTAAGGAATTACTCTGACTAATCTCGATATATTGGATTTGGGGGTAGCCATGGTGGATAGGTAACGTTCGGTAGGATTATCAATAGCTAAGGGCTTGATCTTGTAACTACAGGATCGATTCAGTAGTTATATTCCCCTCCTGCCCCTCACTTTTGTTTCTCGTTTGCTTTTTCAAGTTCATATGGGGCGAAATCTTTGTCTGGCTGATCGAATAGGTAGACCGTGCCTCGAACATGCATGGTATCTGTAGACTGGCAGGCTATGCATGCTGCCAATGCCCTAGACACTCTACCTAGGTATCTTTAAAAAGTTTTTGTGGCTTCAGGAAACCACCACTCATAGGTGTTTTGTGTGGTGTTGGCATGCGGCTGAGCTAGTGATTTGCAATTGGGGTACCACAACATGATGTTGGTGCCTTTAGAGTTCATGGAGCTTATTTAGCGAACGCCAATATAGAAAAAAAATGCTTGATCCTACAGCATACATAGTTTGAGACAAATTGTATATCGCGATCAATCACTCGCGCCAAAAAATACTATGTAACCTGCCCTATCTGCTTAAGTTTAATACCTCAGAAGATGACTGATCGATTGCTTGTAAACTTAGCGCATCGGCTCAAACAAGGCATGGACCTGAGGATGAATGCGCCGCATTGAAATCACTACTCTTTGTGCTTGTGCTTGTAGACTGATACCGAGATAGGTTGCAAAGCACTCTGCAGACTCCCAAATCGGGCGGCTACCAAGTTTGCTGGGGTCAGATAAGATTTATTGCACAGCCGTAAGACCAGGGTCGATAAACATTATTTCAACCGCAATATTCATTCCCCTTTTTCTTTTTGGGAGTTATAAATAGGACATTGCAAGTTCAATCGGTCATGATTTTGTACCAATGCAGTGATTCTGTCACTAGAGTAAAGTAGAGTATGTATGTAGGACAGAAATAATCTTTTGATTGTGGTGGCTTTGATTACTCTGCTTACATGGTGGTACAGTAATGTTTTGAAAATACCTAGAAAACGTGGAAACCAATCACACATGGACTCATAGAATGTCACTCGGTATACAAAATGTAGAGATACATGGTATACTTACAGCACAAAAAGAGAGGAGATAATATACCCAGAAAGCCCCTTTCTCACGCAGCTAAACAACTACAGATCTATGCTCCTCAAGCCTTCAACTTCCACCTCCCCTTCTCTGCTGCGTCAAAGAATCTAACACCCATTACACACAACGACGCACCCAACAACAATGCGCCGTCATAGATGATCACATTCATGTATTCACTTGGTTTTCCCGATGATGACGAAGAATCAAGAATTGCACCTCCGACTGGGGAGCCAAAGAATGCGCCGATGCCACGGACGAAATACACAAAGCCATTGACGGAGGAATAGGCCTGGATCCCGTATATCTCTGCAATCACAGTCGGCAGCAATGCGTTGTATCCTAGTCCAACGTCAGCACTCGCTTTACCTAAAACTCCGAGAGAAATAACACTCACCTCCCGCCATCATCCCATATCCAATCACAAACGCAACCCATACCGCCTTCCCACCGCCCGCCGCTGCGGTTAACCACAGCCCCCAAACGCATCCTGCACTCCCCAGCATACCAACCACGATCATGTTCTGCCTGCCAATCACATCCGCCAAAGCCCCTAGCAGAATGCGACTAACCGTGTTCACGCCGTTGTTCAGTGCTAACAAGGCCGCCGCAAACGCGCTCGAGTACCCCAGCGTCGTAGAAAACGTCGTCAGGAAAGTCAGCGGTACAAAGTTCCCCGATGCCTGTAATAGAGCCGCGAGCGACTGCAATATAAACGTAGGTTTGCGCGCGAGGGATACATTGACGCGGGTGCGGCCCTGTGGACGACCGAAGCGCCACGAAGCGCTGAAAGAGATGGGGAGGGTGACGGCGAGGGTTAGGAGACCGAGTAACCGGAGAGTCCAGCGAAGGCCGACGGTGTCGAGGAGGAGACGGGTTATTGGGGACAGGACGAGACCGCCGCAACCAGCGCCTGTACGCGGCGGGTTAGTATGAGATGGGCGGAAGATTCAAGGGCAATATATTAACCGGATAGAATGAAACCCATGGCCGCGCCCCGGTGCTTATCAAAATATTCGGGCGCCATGGAAACCATGGGGAAATATAGCATTGAGGAACCGAGGCCATAGCAGAGCGACTGGGTGAGATACAGCTGCCACAGCTATTCCTCAATCACTAAATCTTAGTCCCGCAACTCACGATAATTATTGTGTATCTTTCAGGGGGCACAAGAAACGACTAAAACGTTTTTCTACAATTGCGACATTTCAAGGGACAACCTACACTCCGTGCTTCGCCCGCTGCCACCAATCCCACACTCATCATCACGCTCCCCGCAACCGTGACCCAGCGCACATCCTTCACCCGCGCAACAACCGGGTTAATGAATATACTTCCTCCCCACGTCAGTCCTGCTCCTAGAGTGCCCACAAATGCCACCGCAGCTAAGTTCTTAGCCTGCGATAGCGGCAGGGGCGTGGTAGAGGGCGTGGTGTAATATTCCTGGAAAATACCGTAGGACTGGTTGATGCCGATTGTCTGGAAGAACATGAAGAAGGTCGATAGGAGGACTAGAGCTTGTTTCTTACGTGTGGGCGGGCTGGCGGTTAGGGAGTATGTACCGGAGCCCGCATCTTCTCTTTCCTCTGCTTCGGAGGTGTCTCGAGATCTTGAGAGCTCTAAATCTTCCGAGCGGTGGCTGCGGAGTTGGATTGAAGACATCGTCAATTGATCTTTCGATTAATTAGATTAAAATAGTCAACAGGCACGAGAGCAGAACGGTAAATTTATAGGGCCGGCCAACTTACTTGCCCTCGGCTTTAGTTCTGGGAGTCATAATCGGCTACGCGGCAACTAGCTTTGTACAGGTATGTACTCTACTCTATCAACTAATATTAATTATGCAGCATTGGTTTGGGCACGCCGTACAGCTCCGCATGCAGTATTGATGTCCTGGGTTTGTAGGGGCTGGATCTACCCGTCTCTGCGGGGAAGCTGGTTATTGATTACTTTACTGGGGGTGGAAAGTTAGGATGAGCTGTGGCTTGGCACATGGGCTGTCACTCGCTGTGTCCTAGCGCGTCTAAATTATGTGCACGGTCAAGATTTAGAATGCGCAGTATCTAGGTGGTTTGAAGCTCGGAGGGCTCTTAAAACAAGTCTCAAGGGGCATAGAGAGAGGGCCAGTGGTCGCTTTTAAAGGCCGGGACCTCCCCGAGAGGACCCTCATATTAGGCGAGAGTTGATTGTTGGGAAATTCTCGGAAGTTTATAAAGACCTGATGGGGTAAGTAATAGGACAAGCACAAAGAGGGGTGCAACTCAAACCTAACACGGCTCAAATCAATGTGGATATCATAACCAGAGATCCTGCCCGGTCCTTCATGGGTAGAAGAAGGGAGACCGAGCTTTGGGATTCACTAATCACGAGTTATTAGTGGATGTCTAGGTAGGTTGATGTGTATGTATGTAGAGAAACCGGGCAACGAGTCCCTCTCTTATATAATTAGGCATTATATGCTGGGGGTAGTTTATCCAAGCCAACTGGGAGACTAGTCGTCCGTAACGGAAGGAAGCGCAGGTTCTCTGGGAACCACTTGGGTTAGTGTGGGAGTGAGTGTAAAAGACGTCCCTCTCACCTTCTCAAACGTACGGCCCTCAAGCATGTTGAATCTTTCCGCCCATTTTTACCTCGCCCGCTTCTGCACTTTGGGAGCGGGGCGAAAGTGGGAACTATCTGGTCAATTTCAGCGGCTAGGAGAATGCATATGTACTTGTCCTTTTATGGAGTCGGTTGATCCGTGGGCTCGTTATGCTTCTCTGTTGGCTTTGTTTATATATCTAGGTAGGTATTTAACTTGATGCTGAGAATCCAACTATACTCGAGGTTTATTACCCGTTGTCGGCGCTTGTGGAGAAGGCAAGGAAGTGGTGATGTAACATCGAGTGACAGTCTGTGATTCACATACACCTCACATGGTTATGAGGTACCCGTTAAGCTTGGAACTCCCTTGATAAATTCTTCTGCGGACGAAGCGAAAATACGAAATAAATATCTTCTGTTCTGGGGCGTGTGGCGGGGGGGCGGCGGTTAAAAACAAATTCGGCAGCAAAAACTGCAGCAATTTGGGGAATGATAGTACAGTGTTCCTTCCCCTCGTGCCCGACATGGGATTCGAACCCACACCGTCTCCTGCGACGGAAGCTAATGGAGGATGGAGTGAAGTTTTATCCCTTAGACTAATCCGAATAACGCATGCCAGTGCTGTCCGGATTTCTGTTATAACCCCATCTCACAGAAGGGGGCTCCACTTATCAATCTAATCTGGTATCTTTGGTGTAGGGCCAGGGCTACATGTAGTCTCGTAGTACTCATCCCCTACTAGCAGCAAGTAGCTCGCCACCGGTAGGGGCTGATTGGAAGAAATAGGGGGCTGCAAATCATCACGAGAGGAGAGTAAACCAAATAGGGGAAGGGTATTTTATGTGTATTCATCCTTCACTGATGGGGCAGGGGACTTGTGCGCGCGACTGGATTAGCAAAATTCTACATTTAAGTCAGAGCCGGGAATTTGACACCCAGAAATTAGCTTCAAATTATTCTCCTACTTGGCAGGTACTAATGCTAAGCATGCAATTAATGAATTAAACAAAAAAAAAAAGAAAAGGTACTAATGCTACATCTTAATAGTGCAAAATGTTAATCATAGATTATCACTCGAATAATCACCGCCTGGACTTGATCTCTCGGTAGTGTTAAGGAGTGTTGGGGTTTGTTTTTTGGGGATGGATCACTCAATATCATCCAATCCTCTCCGACAGCTCTATAAAGTAAATACCCTCGATTTAGGAGAAATATGAATGCAATGGGAGGGCGCAGGACAAAGTCTCGTTTGCACAATAAACTGGTAGTGTGACTTTCTTTCAGCTGTCACGGTAAAGGATTAATCTCTGCAATCTTTGGAAGGGAAAAGAAAGAGTTATTAATTAATGTTCTTCCTATACACTTAAATCGCGCGCGCAAGTGTCCACAAGTATTATGAGTAGCGAGTAGCCAGAGAAATTGTGCCTCAAAAACCCCTTCCCCCATATATCTCAGTCAATTCCCCTTGTATGCTACGTACTGCCTCCTCTAAAAAGACACAAAGAATTACAAGGAAACCCATGAGCTAACGAACAAACACCCCAGATTTCAAAAAAAGAAAAAGAAAAAAGAATCCAAAAGAGACAATCCTAGTTTTTCCCAAAGAAAATGTTACATCACTAACATACCCATACACTAAGCACAATGTATGAAGAAAAAGGCAACAAAATAGAATTTTCAAAAACCCGATCCAAAAACAAACCCCGGAACAGAGAAACAAAAAAATGACTACGCCCCTATACTGCTAAAGCACAAAAAACAAGGAGAAAAGAATCCCCCTTAAAAAAGGGGGGGGTATATGTATATGTACGAAAGTGAAGAATGTATGATAAAGAAGAGAGGATAAAAGGGAAGGAATGAGGGCGAGAAGTGAAGAGAAAAAGGGGTTACTAGAACTAGATAAGATAAGTATGTGTACAAAAAAATAAAAAACAACCCCAGCGACTCCCAAACCTTTTTGATGCCGATGAAAAGAAGAAAGCTAAAACAGATGAAAAAGAAAGGAAAACCCGTGCACGATGTTATCTTGATGTCGTCAATCCTTATGTGATGAGCCTCTGGGGTCCATTTAGTGTGGGAATGTTCCTGCGTGCTATGACTGCACTTCATCTTTCCCTTTATGGTCCTTCCCAACTGATTCCCCCTCATCCTCTTCGGCCAAGGGACCCCCTTTCCCCATTGGCGGTGTCGGCATCCCTACTGAACTACCTCTTGTCGAGCTTCCAGCTAAACTTGCGCCTCCCGCCCCGCCACCGCCAACTTTTTCTGTCGTAGTTGCAGAGGATACATCGCTCATCGGCCCACTTTGCCCTTCCTCGCGTATCGTTGAGCAATACGTTTTTAGCACGTGTTTTAACTGCGGACGTCGAATTGGCTTCGCGAGGAAATAGTTCATTCCCGCGTCCAGGCAATCCTTCACATTGCTCTCTTCGGCGAAAGCAGTGAGAGCCACAATTGGCGCTGAGTAGCCCATATCGCGGATGATCTTGGTAGATTCGATGCCGTCGAGATTGGGCATTTGGATGTCCATTAGTACCAGGTGAAAGCTCCTGCCTTGATTCAAAGCCTCTTTGATCCGATCGACTGCTTCCCGACCATCCTTGGCAATAGTGACATCTGCGAATCATGGGTTAGCACTCGTCCCAATGAGCTTAGTAAATTGGGCACAAACCATAAATCTCTTCAAGTTTGAGCATTTTCAACACGACCTCCTGGTTCACCTTATTGTCTTCCGCAACCAGTACACGTATCATCCCTCCATCGTCTTCTTCAGCTGCTGCTCTCGACGCCATCTCCTTAATTTCCTGGCTCGGTGTTTCTGCGCCCGTCGGGGCATACTGGGCGCGAAGAATGGCTGACTTAATCCCACCAACCTAGGCTTGTTGTTCTTGCCAAAGCTCACACTGCTCTTTCCAGATTTTTGAGAGCCTGTCTCCTGGATCTGCTGGCTTTGCTCTCCTTTTTCGGTGGATCCATTAGAGCCGCTATGATTATGTGCTGTGCCAATGATGCTGTTTGTCCGGCTCAAGTTTGCCCGGTCCTTTTCACTCAAAAGACTTGGTGTGACCTCTTTGACGTACTTAAGGGGGATTCGCATCGTGAACGTTGTCCCAGCCTTCTCCAAACTCTTCAACTCGATTGATCCATGCATCAATTTCGCAAGCTGAAGACAGATACTTAGACCCAGTCCTGTCCCACCATGTTTCTTGCTTAGCCTCAAATCACCCTGGACGAATGGCTCAAACACCTTCTGTTGTAGATGTTCAGGGATTCCAGGACCTGTATCTTCGACTTGGAACTCGAACATGTAGGTTTTAGCACCCGGTGGTGGGGAAGTTGGGCGGGATGGGTGGTTGATTTGTTCTTGAAGCTTTTCAGTGAGTATTGCACGATGTTCCGCAGCAGATGAAATGCCCTGTGAAGAAGTATCTTGGGTGCTGATATTAATGATAGGCGTAGGGGGCGAGGTGGCAACTGATCCGAGACGCTGCATCCCGCGGTGATTATTTTTGGAGCCATTTCGGGAAGAACCGCGACGAAGAGGAACGTCAAGTATGGGGACCGGAATAATCTCTTGGAGGAGGTTCATCCTGATTTGTATCGCGCCATTTTCACTAATCCTCGTTAGAGCTACATAAAGGAAGATTGGATGGGTATAAACTCACGGTGTAAACTTGAGACTGTTGCTAACAAGATTAATTAAGACCTGTAATATACGGTTTGAATCGCCCCAAAACACCATTTCCTTGACCCTTTTCTCAGGACTGATACTGATGCCCAAGTCAATCCCAGATTCCTTTGCTTGGTTCTCGAAGATTGCTATAATCTGAGCGGTGATGTCTGTCATCTTAAACTCTTTCTCGTCTAGACTAATCGCCATATGACCGACCTGATTCCGGGAGAACGTCAACAAGTCTGTTAGAAGATGCAAGAGCAACTCTCCAGACTTGTACACGATCCCCAAAGACCGCTTGATTTTCGGGATCTCCTCTTCCTGCATACAGACCGCACACATTCCCAGAATTCCATTTAGCGGTGTTCGGAGTTCATGTGTAATGTTGGCTACAAATAGAGACTTCGCCTGATTAGCAGCTTCCGCAACCTTCTTTTGCTCCTCCAACTCTTTTGTTCTCTCAATCACACGTTCTTCAAGATTCTCGTACTGTCGTACGAGCTCTTCCGACATTTCATTGAATGTGCGGGTCAGATCCGTCAACTCATCATGAATGATGTGGCGTCGTTCACGGACTTTCCCGGGAATCCTGAAGGCACGTCGTCGTATTTCCTCGCTACCGTCGCCGCTGCCGGTGTCGCCGCTCTGAGAGCTGTCTCGGCGGATGGCTCGTTGGCGTAGGTATTCACCCATTCCATAAAAGCGGTTACGGCCACGTTCTTCATCATCTTGAACAGCAGCATCATGATCTACAGCGGTTTGAGATGATTGGCTTCCAGTGGGGGTATAGGAGGGAGGACGCATACCTATGTTAATAGCACGTTTGTAAGCGTCAGGCAACCAACATAGACAAGTAGGGGGATTCTTACTTTTTTCGGTGGCTCTCTTTAGTCGAGTGATTGGCTTGACTGCGAAATGGGCAATTGGGCACACTAGGATAATCACAACAGCAAATGTGCCAAAAACTGTGGCAATCAAAATATTTCGCAATTTGTTTATGGGTTGAAAGGCTTCACTCTTGTCCTGTTCTATCAGCAGAGCCCAGTCCGTAAGGTTCTTGACCACGTCAATGATAGCATAACTAAATATGGAAGTTAGTAAGTCATACGAGATCACTCGATGGGGGTGATCACAACATACCCAACACTAACATGCCTCCCTTCTGAATTATGTGTATCCAGATCACTTGAACCACCATCACCATCATCTCCTGCACCATTTATCCCACCAACACCGTGTTCAAACACCCTCCGTACAGCAGTATACTGCTTCAGTTGTCTCACCTGACCCACCAAGGATTTATCTCTTCCTGGCGGAAGCAGATACCGGAACTCGTAATCTCCAACGGCGCTATCATCCCTTTTCTCCAGTCCCAAACTTCTTCCAACAAGTCCAGCCATTGCAGCCACGGCGCTGTGAGACCTCTTCATCATGCTCCTAGACCCTCCTCTTGCCTCTTCTCCCGCAGATTGCTCCACCCTGTTCGCAAGCAACGGATCCTCCCATATATTCGAAGCCGTTGCCGGTCCAACCAGAACTGTCTGTCCTGTTCCGCCAAGACCACGAGTGTCCGTGATGATATCGAGGACTACCTTCGCATTAACCACTACCGTGATGAACCCCAGCAGCGTCGATGCACTAGTGTTGTTAATGATCGGAATCGTAAACGACAGCATAAAAAACGACTCATTAACCATCATAGGCCCCAGTACCAGGCCCTTCCTGTCGTAAATATACTTTGGCGTAAAGTAGTTCGCCGGAGTTGTTATTGAACGCCTGTCCGCGAACGGATACAACGCATTGGGATATCCATCATGATACGGTAGACCATGAGTAGCATTATACTGCACATCAGCCAGCTGCTCCGCAGACATATTCATCAACATGGGACCGCCTCCAGCGTTATCCTCCGTAGGCGGCAGTATAACCCCCGCCGCATTATCACCAGTCGCGTTCAACAATCCAATCCTACTTCCCAGACCAAACCCATAGTTGAGCCTTGTCCCGTTATTGGTTATTCCAGTATAATTTCCTCCACCCACAACCGTGCCATCGTCGGTTATCGTGCCATTTGAAACACCAGGTATTCCGTTTCCAAGATTCTCGTCGAATACCACCACCTGTAGTACCTCGCCGAACCCGCCAGTGGATGCAGATGCACTGTTCTGGAGGTCCTCGAGGGTACGGGACCAGTTCTCATAAGTGTTATTTCCTTGCTGGTATCGTCTTAGGGCACTCTGGAGAATCGCGCGGGTGCTGATGGCGTACACGGTGTTGTGCAAGAGTGTGAGACTCTGAGCGACCTGTATTGCCTTCAAGCTGGCTGTAAGCGAGAACCGCGATGAGCGGACATCAAGCACAAGTCTGTAGTTGTGAACCCACTTTTAACAGTAACTCCTATCAGTAATAGCAAAAGGGAGAGGAATGTAAGGAATGAAAACATGGGGCTGGACTGACAGTGACAATAGCCAAAACACCCACTGCGACGAGCGCTGTTACGGCCACGAGCATAGAAAGCTGCTCTCGAATTCTGATTCTCATGGCTGCGGCGAGGTGGGTGATCCCCTAACCCTCCACCTCTCCTCTCGGCTGAGCTGGTTTGGGCTGGGGGTCCAGCGAGAGAGTAATTGTCTTGAGCGAGGCAGGCAGATTGGTATCCGGCCTTCCTTTTTTATTTTTATTTTTATTTTCCTTTCTTCGTTGTGGGGGGAGTTTTGCAACTCGGGGTAAGGTTGATTAAGGATCTAGATGGATGCTGGAAAATAAATAACCCGGTTGTTAGTTATTTTATGAAGACAAAGAGCTCGGGATGGTGATGATGAGAATAGTTGTTCACGGTCCGTGCTGTGATGATGAACGATGATGGAAGATGGATGAAGTTGGGTGAGTAGAAGTGAGTGAGTGACTAGCTGTGAACGGTCTGGATATGGATATGACAGAAAAAGTGCCGAGTAAGGAATAAGGAATAAAGGCAGGAAGACAGATGATCCCTCCTAGTGGATTGAACAAGAAGAGGATGAAGAAAGTGTAGGTACAAAATATTAGGCCCCTAACCTCTAGAGATAGATAATAGTAGGGTAGATACGAGTGAGCGAACCAGAAACCCGGCCCGACCTCCTATCCACTAACCGGGTCCAGCCTACAAAAAAAATAGGATACAAGAGCAATCGAGAAAAAACAAATCGGACCCAAAGCTAAGGGTAGATCAAGACTCGCCGGTACAGTGTAGTGTTGGGTCAAAAGATCAAACTAGCGGGGGTATGTATTTGTGGGTTTTGCGTGAGGGTCTCTTTTCGTTCGTTCAGGCAATGGATAGACAGACGACAGACAGTCAACCATCCCCCACCACCCCTAGTAGCAACTAAAAAGGAAGAAAAGAAAAGAATAACGGACGGGAAAGATAACCGTCGACCTACCCAGCTTGATTTTTTTCGCCTGCCAGCACAGTAAGTGGAGGGAAGGCGAAATAATGACCCGTCACTAGTTGAACTACTGAGAAGCCCACAAACAAACCCCCCCAAGCAGGGAAGATAGAGTAAAAAAAACCGTTCGAGATGTGTGGCTAAGTCGTTGAATGAACGAATGAACGAATAAACAAATGGTCCGGACGGCAGGTGTTACTTTCTGCGGCTGAAACGAACCGAAAGGCAGGAATTCAAAAACAGGAAAAACAAGCAGGCAGGCAAGCAGATAGTAGGCAGGTAAGCAGGCAGGAATAGAGAGATGCACCTCAAATCCGATTGTGAAGTTTGAATGGGCACCGGTAGATGCTTAATTGCAGAGTGAATACGTATATACCCGTATTGTAGTATAGCAGATCAAAGATCAAGGTAGAGAGAAACAGAGACCGACGACGATGATGATGATGATGGGGATGATGATGAAAAAGAATTGGTCGGACAAAAAAAGAACACCCTTCCTTCTCTCTCTTTCAACCTCTACCCATATTACAGGCCCAGAGCACTCCCACCATAATCCAATTCTTGCATCCTCACAACCAATTCCCATGTGCCTTCCCCATTACCGCTAGTGTGCATGTGTAGATTTCCCCACCACCCATGTCCTGCAGCAAACTGGCAGGGGACCCCACACACTACTAAGGCTCGCTTAGGCTTGGTCTGGGCGACGAGCGAACGAATCCGGCTGATAGCGACAGGGTGTTGTTTATTTTCAGATCGAGGGCAGCTGCGATGGATGAACGTGATGGCAGCAGCCACCCACTGCCACTGCCAATCGAGACCCCCAATCACTCTCGAGAAGAGCACAACCCAGAGCCTTTCAAGGGACTCTATTTGTTAATGTTAACAATAGAGTACAGAGACAACACTTCTAAATTCTGAACGCGGAACCTGGATGCATTTGCATAAACTACAGCATAAGCACAAGCACATGTAGGTTCACTATTGTATCAGACGGAATACCTATCCCAGATACAGAGGAAATCACTCTTAGACATACGTCCCAATCCACTCTATTGTTAAAGTACCCAATACATCCACCCCCAGAAACAGGACAAATCAGAGCGGGATTCCAGGGCTTTCCATCTGCTCTTCTCTCCACACACCGTGCCATGATTAAACTTCGATCCGCAACCTTCACGAAACCAGGATCATCGTTGCACGCGTCCAGCGCGCGAACTCAAGTGACAGGAACACATCGATATCCGTGCACCACCCCTACCATTACTTCGCTGGCTGCTAGATCCACCGCGCAGTGTCCATCGTATCGTGGTTGTCGTTACAGAGCTAGGCGACTCCAACATCGGGCGAAAGTCGCTCCCACTACATAGAGGTAGAATACCTACTTTACATAACTCTGCCATCACGGCATAGGCATATATGTACCCTCCCGTTGAGGGTTCCGCCGGTTGATTTATTTTATTTTATTTATTTATTTTTATGTTACGTCTCTTCCCTTGCACGAGATCGAAAGTGGAAAATGGATGCTATTTGAGATTAGGACTTTCCCTGCAACCCCAAAAGGAAAGCAATGCCTCGAATGGAAGTGAAGGGACGAAAAAAAGTCCTCGGTGGTGCTGCTGCATCCTGCTGCTGCAGTGTCGAACAAAGACAATTACTACTCCAAGGCGGACACGGAAGCAAGCACTGGCTGCAATGCAGAAGAAACCAACCTCCCTCCTCTCTTGATAAAAATACATAATAAATGAAAAAGATCTCATCTCGCTCACGGCCGAGAAAGAAAGGGCCGGGTGTTGAAACAAACCCTACCAAAACAGCGGGAATGTGATAATAAAATAAAAATAAAAAAAACGAGAAACACTCTCCTAGCTTCATCCTTAAACTAGTGTTCATAATCTCCTCCGGAGGTATCATCCGCGATCGGGATGGGTAGAGTCGGTAAAGTGCAAGGTACTTGGATGTGTCATCCACGTATGACAGTACCGGCGCTGATAAAGTAATACTCAGGAGACACAAGGAAAATATCTACAAGGAATGTCTTCATGTTCTGTCTCTTAAACCGGATTATTTAATCCACCGCAACAGACTGTTCGTCGAGATTCAAAGCTACAAAACAGGCCCCCCGTCCCAAATCTTGCAGTAAGCAGGCAGGCAGGCATGACGGGGGAAATCCATGGTTTTCAAACCTCGAGCGGGCCGGGCGGAAAAAGAACAATTCTAGAAAACAAGCGCGGGGGGACAAAATCACTCCATCACGCTCTGTGTCACCCTGTATGTGTTTTCCAAGTGGCGAGAAAAAAAAGACATAAACCATGTGTCCATTAAAGTGCCTACGCTGTTTCTAAGCGGGCAGGCTGTGAAAAAAAATCCGATCAGCAATGTCAGGCAGGTCAAAAGATTGGAATTGAAAAAAGACCCGACCCGGACCTTCGGGAAATTCTCGGGGGTGGGCGGGGAGCGCCGTTGCATGGTGATGACTGACCTTCATGACATTTGACTGAGATGAGGTTCGATACTTGGATTAAGTGGAGTAAACGAACTACAACCTAGCTAGTCAGCTCTCGCTCAGTTGAGCGAAACCGTGAGCGATCGTTCATATGCGGTTGCGTGCGCTTGAAACGATCCCACTATTTAACCCCGCAACCAAAATAACCTGGCTTCGTAAGATGCAAATGGAAGAAAAGAAAGAGGCACTATTAAGCTTCCGAAAACTCTATATCCCAAACATTCATATCGGGTTTTTCGTTTGCTTTAATCTATTCTGTTTGTTTGGGTGCGGTATACTTTAATTGCCTGAGAGGAGAGACGTTTCCAGGATCCACCTCCACCTCACACGACGGCGGAATGGGAAGGATTTGCGGAAAATCTACCAAGCGTAGTAAGTTATTTACTCCATCCTACTGGAAGACACACCTGTGTTGCTTAACAAACAGTAACAACCAATGACCATCCCGGCGGTGGGAGTTGAGGTTGTGGAAGCGGTTCGCTGCTGGTACTGCTGGTCGCCAGCTAGCTTGATTACTATTTTAGAAGAAGCAGCGCAGATGTAGCAGCAGCAGGCTGTTTGCTACCCTAGATACGTCTCAACCTACCTATGATCTTCCCAAGATTCGAATTCCGTTGCAGAATAGCCGTTATTTGCGTTCGTCCGCAGTGGAGAATGCCGTTTCCCTATCCTAATTAATTTGAATTCGATCCGACACCCCACGGACCGCCTGCATCAGTAATCACTCGAACTAAATAAATACCCTACTTTAGAGGGTATTCTAGAGTAGGTTGCTGGTGGGGAATATTTTTTCTAGGATCTGCTTACGAAGCTTATTCTCTTCTTTGGAAGTGAGCGAGATACGGCCAATATCTGCAAAGAGCTACATATCTATTCCCTCGTCTAGCTCTGCTCCGGCTCTCCTTGACTCCGGGTCCGCGTTATTTGGTTTGGAGGGTGTTGGTGCGCAAGCTCTACACGTGGTGGTGGTTGTGTATGGCTAGATGAATATGGTTCGATGCCAGCTGTTTTTGACACATGTCCTCCACCATCTCCGCCGTTTCTTGGGCAATGTCCGGCGGTTGCGGTCCTCCACGCCCTCCGCAGCAGCCCAGGCTTGGTGTCTGCTCCTTTCCGCAGCAGCCCAGGCTTGGTGTCTGCTCCTTTCCGCAGCAGTGCCACGAAAGACACATGCACCTCAGCACCCTTGGGGGCATCCTGAACGAGAGGGCGCGCATATCAAAGAGAACCCGACCCCCCGGCACACCGCTAACTGTAGGTTGTGGGGTAGGCAGAGTAGATGGTTGGAGCTTACATAGGCCGGCGCGGTGCCACTACCTACCTACCCTCTCTACGAGCCTACCTCTTACACCCATATCTGCTGGGTGTTGCTTGTAGTCATAGAATGCGTGTAGGTTGAAATAAGAAAATAAGACCTGCCGCCTTTCCCGGGCAATGTGATTAGAGGAAATGATGGTAATGTTCATTACGCGGCCTGGCTTTGGGATGGCATTCATTGATACATGTATGGTGCCGTATATACCTCTGGGGCGATTTGTGAGAGCTTTTGGGGTGCCCGGGATGCGTCGGCCTTGAGCTTATTGCCGAGATGAGTGATACCCGGTTTTGGAGGATTC